CCGGCTGCCTTGGCCTGCTTCCTCTGCTTTCCCTTCAGCCTGTTGCTCTTGGCTTGCGGCGCGTCCCACGACGGCGAAGCAAGGAGATCAGCGGGGTAGCCACATGACTTGGCTGTGGAGGCGAGCCATGCAGCAACGGAATCGGTGTCTTCCTTGTACTGGCGGTAGACGCCCGAGAGTTGGCTCGGAAGCATCCTGGCGATGCGATGCGAGGTGGTGGGGATCCGGCAATCGACGCTGTCCTTGCGGAGAAGAACCGTGGGAGGAGCCAATACAGGCTGGGGTAGAGCGGAGTGAGAGATGGAGAACGGCCAAGGGCTAGAGACGAGCGAGCGGGGAGGGACAGGCTTTTGTTCGTGTTGGGAGGTTTTGCTTTTTCCTGCCGACCTCGCACAAGTCCAAAGTGCCGGGCGGTGAGTTGGGCACAATCACGTCCACTGACTGGCTGCAGTTACACAAACGCGACACGCGGCAAGAGTTACCCTACATGTACATAGTACATTAGGAAATGAAACATCACTGCTTTCAGTAGTAGCGAGATACTCTTCGCCCGCTACCGAGCTCGTTGAGACAGGTTGAAGCACGCAAACGCAATCACGACTCGGTGGACGATGAAAACGATAAGCTTGTGACAGCTGCAGGCACTATTCAGCCGACCAAGAACAAATTTCCTAAAGAGGGGTAGAGATGAAAAGAGGGGTCAATAGGCTACTTGAGCTTGAGAGTGGTCACTGGTCTGATCAGTGGTGATCGTCAAGACCCTCACTAACATTAGCCTATTAGATCTGTTATGTGTTACTAGTTGGAAGCAACAGTATCAGACCATCCCTTTCATCTGTGAACCCAGGAAAGGCTGGCGGACTGCAATATGGGATCATGACATTTGGTTCTGTGGCAGCTCATATTTCTAATAGCTTGACAATTTGCAATTTGGGTCTGGCTAGCATTAGAAGGAGATGAGTCTATCACCTCAAGTACATATGAGATAGGCTGAACTTAATCCAGTACAATTTTGCATCGATGAGATTGACTGAGACTGACTATAGAAGCCTTGCCAATAAAACTCACTCGTAAACAAAGATGGCCACATATTTGGTTACTCGGAATTAGTTCATTCTGCCGCTGAAAATCAGTAAACTCATCAGAACTTGTATGGATTTTCTGCCTCAAGTACACACCTCAGGTATTTATTCGAGTAATCCATGGCTGCAATATCCTGTGTTATGACACCAAAAAGCTCAAAGTGTAACTCCGCGCCCATCCACCACAACTCATACTTGATAGATGGGTTTCAGGGCACAAATAATGTCGGAGAATATTCAGAGGTATGTCTTTCGGTGAAACTGATCCATCATGGTCGAAGCGCATGCCCGGATGAAATCAGGGTCCTGTCTCTGGTCGACGCGAGCCAAGAGATAGTTGAGCACGAATCCTTGTGCCACAAGAGTGAGGAAAGCGAATGCTGTTTTGATCTTGTTCTTTCTGGCGCCGGATCCCGCCGATTGTTGGCCGAGTCGAAATATGACCACCAGGGTCAAGAGCATCGAGAAAACGTGGGCCGCGAGAACACTGTCTCTTACTCTCTCCATAGCCGCTTCTTTCGTTTGAGCCATCCTTCAGTGCTTTGTTGCCGGCTCGGTTGTAGGACTGGATCGGGGAAGAAGTTGGGGACTGCCGTAGTCGTGACTTGAGATGTGGAAGTTTGGTCGTTGTTAGTTGAAGAGTTGAAGAGTTGTAGCTCTCGATGTGGTTTCTTGCATTTTTTCTCCCTCTCATGTTGTGACAAACTTGTGTAACCAATGTAGGGTAACTTGCACAGTGAGAAACTCTGCATGTCACTGACGTGTTTGATGTTCGAAGATGCGAGTGTTGAAGCACAGGTGATTTTGAATTATTTTTGTTTTGTCAATCCGGGTATTCTCTATTTTAATTACGCACGATGCAAAATTTAGCTGATGTTGATTTTCTTCTTCTAGACATACTATATACCAATGCTGAAATGCAAGACAGCAGCTTTGTGCTAGAATACTTATGAGTTGGCACTTATTCCTACCCCAAATCTGGGTGAATGTGTTTGATCATTTATTATTAATATGAGAGACAAAACTTTATAAGCTTAGTTGTTTGTAATTGATCGCTGAAGGTACAAGTTGAGTGACACGTGTTGGGATGTAGAGTAATAACAGAAAAGATAGTGTATCATTCAACTTGCTAAATACGCAGTCTAAAACAAAACGCCAACTCCATGAGTTACCCTCCCATGTTTTGAAAGCTATTACTACCTAATCATTTACAGTTATTTTAAACGCACTTCCAGTATGGTAACCTGTCAGTCATCCATCCACTGGTGTGCATCAGGCTCGTCTTCCGTTGAGACATGCCGGGCGCGTAGCCCTGGCCCATGGCTATTTTATCGTCCATCTTGCACAGATCTTCTGTAAAGGACCACATCATGCATTCGGTCCAGGACCTACACGCAGCCTCACAGGCCTCGGCTGACTGCCAACCCTGCTTCCAGACAGCGTCATCATACGTGCTTCTGTCTTCAGGAGCTGGAGGCCACTTTTGGTTGTCAGAGGTAATAGAGAACTGGCTGGCTCCGTTCTCCCACCACTGAGCGGGCTTCTCAATATGTGGGAGAATCATCTCGTTGAAGAAGTCGCGGTGCAGGAATGGTTTCTAAACACAATCAATCGTTAGTATAATGTGAAAGATAAGTCTAGGGTGATTTGGGTTGAACGAACCGAAAAGTCCCAACGCTTCTCCAACTCATAGTATTGGGCCACGTCCCGACTATGAGTCTTGTGCCAAGACATTAATGGATAGCACCAATTCGATCTGCTGAAGGAGAAGGCCCAGTGGACAAGAGGGTTGAACCCCCAGGTGAACAGCTCTTCGCCGTCATTCTCGCCGAACTTGACGCCGTATTGATTCAAAGCGTAACCGAGTACCTGGTCTCCACAGCACCTCTCGGCCGTGTAGTTATAAAAGGTCTCCGCCATGTTTGGGTTCTTCCCGAATGACGCCTCCCAAGCACCTCGGGAGAGCGCAAAACCCGCACCGCCCTGGGCGAACACGACGTCTGATTTCGCGGCGTAGCTGCCCAGCCAGTGCGGCTTTCGCCAGTCGAACCCAGAAAGGTAGCGGCGGATGCTGGGGAGGAAGAGGTAGGCGTCGTCCTCCATGTAGACGTACCACTTGGCCTTGGGCCAGTTCTCCCCCGCGTGCTGCACCAGAGGCACAAACTTGTACTTGTCAATGATCCACCCGCCCTGCGGGCCCCATTCATCTCCGTTGACGCCCGCAGCCTCTACGTAGAAGTTGTGGGCGTTGTACTCGGGCTGCTGCCGGTACACCTCAAAGTCAGGCGCCTGCTTCGCCTCGTCTGTCATGTTTGCGAGCACGTCAATGATGGTGAAGTCGCCGACCTTCTCAGCAAGGTCGGAATAGATGACGGTGTTTTTGTGAGAGATCCGATCTTTTGACAGTGTGGTGGGGAGATGCACGAGGAGACGCTTCCACATTGTGGTGCCTCCAGTTTTCATGATGAGAACAATGTCATCGTCGTCATCTTCAGCAACAGCAGGGACCGAAGCGACTGGTTCTGGTGTTTTAGATTCGACTGGCTTGCTATTCTCAACATGGCTGCTGGGGCTATTCAGTGGAGCGCTGGTTGGAGCGCTTGGAAGGGACTTTGTTGTTGTGGTGTGCAATGGCTCGGGTGACTCAACCTTGATCTGATTAGGAGGCTGACTGGCCGGTTTGGGGACACTGTGACCGTAGTTCTCAACGCTTGGGTCAACCAGCCAGAAGAGAAGGATAATACAGGTAGCCATTATTACGGCTGGCACCAGCCGGTTGTTCCGGTAGGTGACGACCATGTTGCCCTTCATCTTGGCGTAACCTGCAGGACAATAGACACCGGTGAAGGAGAGACAAGAATGTCGAGGAGGGCTGTAAGTAATACTATAACCGACAGCTAGGGATGAAAGGGGTGGAAATGACTCAATTTAGAACCTGTCCCATCGTATCGGTGTTAATAATACGCCCGGGCTGGCCGGCTGCCTAGTGCTCAGCATTTGAGACTTTTGGGAAGTTCCCCAAGGCCAAGAATTTCGCCCCGTAAGCGGCAGATGTTCAAGGGCCTACAGAGATACCGGCTAGGGTTTCCTGCCGTGATCAATTTGCCATCGATGAATACGTAAACCTCCGGGGGGCGAAAGATCAAAGATCAAACGATAACGAGGGCGTCTTACCAAAAGGAGTAAGACATCAGAAGCATGGCTCCGCAAAACGGAGCGGCTGTTGCATGGGTTACTGAGATGAGAAAGGTAAGGCAGAGGGAATAGGCAGACACGGGGTCCACACGAATGAAACGCTGACTGGCTGTCGGCAACCCTATGGAGTAGTTTTTATTTCTTCAACTCTGACCCTCATGTGCGGAAAGCCGTGAATTCTGTCACGAAGTGGCGCAGTGGAATCAATAACAAATCCTGTTGATGCCAAGACTTGAGCTGATATCTCAGCGCATTACGCGATGTTACATCTCGTATTGAACAACAGCGAGATATAGAGAATGCCCAACGCATCAATCACGCGTGCTTTGTCAAAATTTTCACTCGTAATTACTCGCCGCTAGCTTCTGCTCGGTGATCCTACGGTCCCCCATGTCCGCAGTTATTAGGGCTTTCGGATATAATGATATGGCGGCGAAGCACGTTCGGCAATGACGGGGCCTAGACCGCTGTACGGGACAAGGCAAATGCAGAATGCTGGACGAGGATGAGTAACTAGGCAGCTGAGCAAATTACTTGACAATTCTATGATGACACAATTTGTTGAAAACCCGCCGCAGCCCACATGTTAGAATGTGACTGCTTACCTAGATGCTACTACACTGGTACCTCTCCTGAGCTGATCCGGGTTTAAGCCCATACTCTACTGTCATTCTTTTAATTCCAATCAACGCTCGTTAATCTTTAATAAACCACGTCCAGAAAATGGGTGTGAGAGAAGTGTACCAGCAGGATGGCTACGGTACGACTGTAGCAAGTCCCCGGCATGTTTCCGTCCTTCGCCAAGTGGTCAATGTTCTGGGCTGCATCGCCTCTCTACCATTGTATTGGTTCATCACCGTCCACTGTCGGTGGCCAGTAACGCTTGACCTGATCATCACGATCGGGTTGGCGGAGCTGAACCGCTATATCAATGAGGGACGAAGACTGGCCTTCCTTGATGAAGCAAGCTATGACTCCGAGTCTGACATCGAGGAGAAGAACCACCATGAGATCCATGCTTTGCGAATCGACGAGAAGTCTGCATCTTCTGTGGAATCTGGACCAGCGTCATCTCGGTTAGATTGCCTCGCTGCGATCGTCGGTTGGCGGGAGGACCCGTCACTTTTCACTCGGGCCCTGGAGAGTTACAGGACGACTCAGAATTGCGCATTCGTCCTTGTTGGCATTGACGGCAATGAAGCTGAGGACATGGACATGGTCCATGTCTTCAATAATGCAAGTTAACAACAACCCTTTTGCAAGCATACGAGACTAACTCAACATACAACAGGTCTTCCCCAAGCAATCCCATGTGATCGATGTCCCAGAGCCCCTAGGCGAAATAGCTCATCGGGTTCGAAACAGAGAGATTGCCAAGCGCGAACGAAACGGCCAAAAGATAAACTACACCGAAATCGATGAGATCGCTGTTCGCCAGTGTATCCAAATAGCCCGCTCGTTGATCTCTCAGGCCAATCTGACGTTCAGTGGCCCTTACGGGACTCGCCAACTCTGTCTCCGACAACAACACATGCACAAGAAAGGCATCATGTTCACCACCTTCATTTTTGCTCTTGTAATCTCTGATATCATGGGAATCGAATTCCTTTGGAGTTCTGATTCGGATACGTTGGTGTTTGATGACTCACTGAGCCGGACTGTTGATGCTATTGCTATCGACCAAAGCATCGGCGGAGCTAGTTCCGGTCTGGTGGTTCACAACGGTGAAGAGAGCCTTGTTACTCTCCTTGCTGAAACGGTCTACTGGGGCGAGCTATATTTGACCCGATCAACCCCTGCCGCCACCGCATCAAGCGACTGTCAGAGTGGACCCAGCACCATCTTTCGACTGGCTGCTTTGCCACCTATCCTACTCCCCTGGTATACCCAGACCATTATGGGCAAGAGAATGGTAAGATGACTATCTATTGAACCTTGGAATACTTTGAACTGACATTACCGTGCCCCCAGATCATCAATGAAGATCGCCACCTCACCACCAACCTCCTCAAGTCTGGATGGGGTGTCGTTTTCGCATCTGATGTCCTCACAGCAACTGACACACCCGCCTCTCTCTCCCGTTGGCTTCGTCAACAGGTGCGGTGGGCACGGGCTACCCATATCGAGTCGTTACTGCAGCCCCGTGTATACCTAAAGAGTCACCCTCTTCTCTTCCACGGCATGGCCAAGCGCGAGTTTGGTCCGGTCCTTGCCGCGATTGCAATGATTTACTATTTCTTCACTGCCAGGCAACTCATTGTGTTCTCTGCCACTGATCTCTTCTTCCGCTGCATCGTGGGGCTGGTGTACAACGTTCTACGCAACCCTCACCGCTTGAGAACCAGTTCGCTGAAATGGGTTATCCCCGGCATTGTGTTCTACCATATTCCCCTGCCCGCCGTGCATTTGTGGAGTATGTTGACTCTGACAGCGGATGGTTGGGGCACCAGCATGCGCGCAAACAGCGAGCAGGCAAAGAAGGATAGCACCTGGCAGGCGTGGTGGGAAAACGGCTTCTTCGTGATCTGGATGGGTGTCGTTGCTGGGTCGGCCGCAAGGTGGATGATGACGAATGTGATGCATGATCTCAGTCATTCTGTGTCTGTGCTGGTGTTTTTTGGCAGCATAACAGTTGCCGGGCTGCTTGCATGGAAAGCGACTATCGCATCCTCCTGAGTTGGGGCTTGTGTGCTGTACTCAGCGAGGCTTCACTAATTAAAAACAGAAAATCAGGCGATAAAGGCATTAGATTACATTGCTTCTTTTGAATAGACTATAGAGAGATTTGGTGCTCATACGTAACGAAGATATAGATTCAAGAGTAAAGAAAAACTTAACAACGACGAGAACTAGGTATGCTAAATCGATCAAAAACCATCAAGATCAAGCTACTGTGTTGGAAGCTCGTCACGGGTGATGACCCAGAGCTTCTTTGAGAACGGTCCCTTGGAAACCCACGTCACATGCATTCCAGAGGTCAATCCAATGAGATCACCAGCTTTGAAGTTATGCTTCTTGCCACTCTCTGTTTCCGTAACCTCCACTTCTCCTTCCAGAAGGAAGATGGTCTCATCGCCCAGCACCCCGGTGTAGGGCGTGGTCATCGAACCCTTCTCGTCGACATGCGTTCCTGCGATACCTTTGCCGGAGCGCCAGACCCCGCTCAGCATTGTGCCCGTTGTCCCGCCATTTCGAATAAAGTAGAGCTCCCCGGCCACTAAGTCGCCCTCCTTGGGCTCTGTGAAGTGGTAGTCGGCCCAGTCAGCTGGGCTGTCGCTGACATTGTTGATGCCGAGGTCAGTCGGGGGAGTAGAAGTATTATCAGTCCCGTTCCAGATGCACCACCACTTCTTGAAGGAGGGCGCATCAATCTCCCAGAGAACCTCCAAGTTCTTGGGCGAACTGATGATCGTACCAGGGCCGACACTGTACTTCTTGCCGGTCGAGACGACGGTGAGCGTCGCGCTGCCGTCAATGACACAGGCCGTCTCATCGCCAAGGGGGGCAGAGTAGATGAGCTTGGAGGAGCCGTCCGCGCTGGCTCCGGGGGCCTGGCTCGACGTCCTCCAAAAACCGGCGGAGAGGTTGCCGCTGGTTCCAAATTTGCGGGCGACGGTCACCTCGCCATACACCTGCTTGCCGATCTTTGGCTCTTCCCATTCAAAGGGCACCCACTCAGTGGCAGGTGGGATTGGGCTGCTGCCATGGACAATGTGTGTTTTAGGTTGGGCCATGATGGTAGGATATTCGTTAAGCGTAAGTAGGATGGTGATATGAAAACTTATTATTGAAAGTAGCTGCTCGTCTGAATTGCGTTCCAACCGGTGATGAATGCCTTTATTTATCTACTGGGTGACCATTTTCGTTCCGCATTATTGCCAGCGGTCCAGGCCAAGAAAAGGACAACCCCGCTCTGCGGTATGCTCAGATCCGCAGATATGAAGCTATAACGAGTCGTGTCGATTGGAAGGAGCTGTTAGCTTGCGGGAACTTCACATCCGCTCCCAATCTCAGTGACATTACCCTGGCTCGCCACGCAAGACACCTGATAACAGCCAGCTAGCGCCTTGGTGGCCGACGTTACGGGTGAGATCATTCACTCATCACCCGCTAACTATTCTTGGTCTTCAAGAGCTAGCTAAAGCTTCTTTTGGGGTACACCATTATCTATCACCCTCCTTTGCCTCGCTACTTGAGGACCTCGGCACTTCGTTAATTGATGCATGCTAAAGCGTGTTTACTATACCACAATCAGACTTACAAAGTACCCAAGCTAGTCGACTTAGCTGTCTTACAAGTGAATAGCGAGGCAGTTTGTAATCGAAGCTTCCTACGGACTTGAACGACGAACACTTCGGCTCAAGTAAGCACCGACAATCAATATTTCATGGTATTCGGAAGGACAAAGTTTTTTTGTGTGATATTAACATTGTGATTAATTCATAATGATATTCATGTTTAAACCCATCTGAATGATGAGATTCATTGTACGATCGTGTATATCAACTAGCGGATTTAAACTACATCTGAAGTATTCAACATCACTTGCAGCAGGGCCCGTCCCTATCAATTGGCATGGGGACACTCTGCAGCTTTCTGCTCTTCCTTGGCCCCCTCCTTGGCCTCCTCCTTAGCCCCCTCCTTTTCATCGCTACTGATGATAGCATCCTTGAAGACTGCAAAGCTGGAAGGCGTCTCCTCCAAGACGGGGAAGTGAAACCCGCACCCGGGGCACTGCTCGTGCAGCACCGCCTGCTCCTGCGCGAGGTCGTACTTCTTGTCCTGGGTGTGGTTGCAGACGGGGCAGACGCGCAGCAGCCTTGTGCCGACGAGCTCAAAGTTGGTGATGATGTCCTCCATGATGGCGCCGTTGGCGGCCCACGCCTTGCAGTGCTTGTGGTAGGTGTCCTTGTGCCAGCCGTACAGGGACCCGCGGCTCGTCCAGAACGAGCATTCGTTGTACCAGGTAGGGTCGTCTGGGTGCTCCCACCACGTCAGGTGGAGGAAGCCGTCGAGCTTCATGAGGTGTCGCCGCGTGTCGGCAAAGAGCACCTTGAACTTCTCGTATGCATCGGGGCTGGAGAAGCGCACCCGCTGCATGCTCAGGTAGATGGGCATGATGGAGGTTTGAAGTACAGGACAGATCGTGATGAAACGAAGAGGCGTTTGGGAGAAAGTGTATGCTATTCAGTACAGCAGAAGATAGTGAACAGTGAATAACAAGCAAGAGAGCGTCTTCTGTTCATGGTAGACAGACGAGCTTTTATGCTTCTCATCAAGTGCTCACGTACCAGACACACACATCTATGGATATTTTTGCCTAATCAGTCCAGCGATGTGCATCGCCCACGGAAACCTCAAGTCCGATGCATTATACTCAACGAGATGCTATTGGTCCGTGAGACGGTCCGTCCTGATAAGCCAGTGACATCAATGTGCGGATGTGCGGATGTGCCATTCCGCCCCCCGCATTAGCCCCTTTTATACCCCGCGTTGGCTCTATCAAACGGTTCTCGACGGGCCAGTCAAGTGCCTGCGATTTGTTTTGCCTTTTGCTGGCTCCCTGCCCGGCATGTCATCACTCTCTCGCTACTGGAACGACGGCGAAGGCTGGCTGCCAGGCATCAGCTGCCAGCTGCTGTCCTGGCTGATGGCCCAGTGCATCGACTCGAGCTCGGCGTTGCTGATGCCCAGGTCAGCGGGAGGGAGGTCCTGCCACAGGATCGAGTCGTAGCCTTCACCCGAGGTCCCGACGGCGCCTTCCAAGCTGCCTACCTCGTTAAAGGCCAAGCAAGGGCCCGGGCTCGAGACCAGCGCGTGGGTCACGCCCCATCTCGCGGCCAGGCCCTGGACGTATCTTATCGCGCGGCTGGCCTGGAAGTGCCACATGCTCTGGATGTCCTGCAGGCTCTCCAGGCAGATCTTCAGTCGGTGCCAGGAGAACCGCTGGACGGTGGCATCGGTCGAGGTGGCGAGGAGAAGGTGTATCGTGGCGGCCCGCACCGTGAAGTAGATGACGACCGGCGGCGAGTCGGTCAGTTTGTGGAATTCCCGAAATCGGGAGAGGATGATGGTGTGCGACGTGGCCGCCTCAATCATTTCCTGAAGTATCTCGTCCTGCTCGCTGCCGCCACGGCCGAGGTACGGTGGATTTAGCGTGATGGGCGAGGTGTCAAAGGCCATCTGGAGAAAGTACAGGAACGGGTGGTGGGCCACGCGGTCAGAGCCCAGCTTGACGCGAGGGTCAATCAAGCCTCGGAGGTTCGCGATGGCCTGCTTGCAGTCAAGACGCAAGGTCCGCCGTTCAGACTCGGGCATGGTCGCGAACCGAGGCGTGTACAGGATGTTCATGTAATAGCCGTGTAGCCTCCAGAGAGCCCATAGGTGATCGAAGTAGAGATTCTCAATGGTGACGGGTGTCCCCCCCGGGACAAAAGTCGTGGAGAAGCGCGGAATCTGTATGTTATGCCGCCAGGGGATGGAGGACATGCGTCCGAGCAGGGCAGCACATATTCGGTCGACGGCGGAAAAGGCCCAAAAGGCCGTCAGCTTCTCGCTAAAGTTGCTGCTCTGCTGCTCCTTCTCAATGGTTTCAAGCGACCAGTCGAAGACACCAAGCTGCTGGAGCAATGCCGCCGCCATGCAGTTGAACATCCACGTGCGAGTGGGATTCCCCCCAACGGTGAGCTCGCGCCAGACCAGGATGGTTAATGCGCGGACGGCAACCAGAGTCGCTGTAGGCGTGGTGCAGGCTCGCGTCACCATTCTCTCGGCGCACTGCACCAGCTCATCCCCGATGCGATGTTCCCGCGTGACGATGGTCGAGGCGCTGATGATGGCAACCAGAAGCAGCAAGCTGTGGTAGGGTTGGTCGAGGGAACACGAGAGCCCGGACAGATACTCGCTGTCAATGAGGCACTCGAAGCGGTTTATGCGATCAGAGAAATGCTGGAATGCCCTCTGGCGAAATTCGTAGTCGTGGAGCCTCGAAGGCCACGCCGGGACCATGTCCAGGTTGGGGGAGGCAGTTCGGTCTGGGTCGAAACGGGGTTCCAGTTGATAGATACTGGCCGAGCCCAAGCCTCCAGGGTCTATCCGGCGATGCGTCAGTTGGCTGATATCCCGAGCCGCATGCGAAGTCCAGTCGAGCCCATGGCCGTCCGGGTGAGCGTCTGGAGCATGTGGCGGGCTCGGCATGCGCTGTCTTCTCGCTGCTTGGTCTGACGAAGGCCCGGCCAGCGACTCAACAAGTGACTTGAGGCGGTCAATCTCCGAATGCAGGTGCTCGTTGCGGTCCCTACGAAAAGTGAGCCTAAGGGAAATTCCCATTGCACGTAGTTGACGTACTTGCGAGACAAGGGCGGGCGCCGTGACCCGTATACACAACATTTCGAACGGCGGCGGCACAGATTGCAGACGGGGCGGACGCCATCGCACTGCGGGCATCAGCATTAGATCAGGTTCGAATTCATCAATATGCCATGCAGGATCGGGAGTGTCAGACCTTTCGCTTGCCCTGGCGACATGGGTCACACGCAATCTCAATGCGACGGACGCTGCAGCTCATGATGCAGACAGTGATGCACCGTACTTTTCAACATCAAACTGGGAATGCGGGGGAGATAGATCCTGGGTGGCAGTGACACTCTGATGATTGGATCTTTTATCTTTATCTCCTCCTCCTCATCTGACTTATCATTGGACTAAACCGCATCTAGCTATGATACTCCGCGTCTCCCAAGTAGCACGTAAATCAATCTTTCAGTGGTTCAACATCCATAGCGATTTGGTCATTAATAATTTCCACTTCTAGTTCGTAGAGAGCTTAGTATCCATATCCTAGAGGATAAAAGTTAGGAGCATCTTGTTGTATTTGGAGTCGGTGTCTTTCGTGAATGGCAGGGAGATCGATGAACATATTCCAAACCAACACTTGTCGTACGACCAATTTAGAGACTGGCACTATTTTTAAACCATAAGATAACACAGAAACAACCAGCCAAGTTTGACACCACAACACATACTTGGCCAATGGCCTCTGAGAGAAGCTGCTTGGAGTGTGTTACTCTTTGTCCTGCACGCCTTGTGCGTTAACATCAGCGCCATGGCTAATCAGCAGCTTCACTAGCTCCTGATGGCCTTTGAGTAAAGCCACTTGAAGGGCGTTGCCACAGTCTCCGCCTTTGGCGTTTACGTCAGCGCCATCGTTGATGAGAAGCTCAGCCAGCTCCTCGTGGCCCCCGTGGCAAGCTGCCTGAAGAGCGCTGCCCAATGCTCCGCCTTGAGTATTGACGTCGGCGCCATGGCTGATTAGCAGTTTCACCAGCTGCTCGTAGCCGTTCCAGGAAGCCACCTGGAGGGCGTTCCCATATACTCCGCCTTGGGCATTGACATCGGCGCCACTATCGATGAGCAGCTTCACTGACTGCTCATGACCTTCCTGGGAAGCCGCCAGGAGGGCGCTACCATATGCTCCGCCTTGAGCATTGACATCGGCGCCATTATCGATGAGGAGCTTCATCAATGGCTCGTAACCCTTGCAGGAAGCAGCTTGGAGGGCGCTGCGATATGCTCCGCCATGGGAGTTGACATCAGCACCATTGTCAATGAGCAGCTTCACCAGCGACTCATGGCCCCCATGTGAAGCCGCCTGCAGAGCGTCACCATCCTTCAAATCAGCACCATAATCCAACAACAACTCAACGATGGGGCCGTGGCCTCCTTCTGCTGCCCAGATCAATGCTCCCTGTATTCGACTTTGGATGGTGTCGGTACACGCACCTGCGCTCAAGATCGCCCGTGCTGTATTCTGGTGACCATACCTGGCAGCCCAGGTCAAGGCTGAGCCATTAGAACACTCGACGTTGTGGCGATAGAGGCGGGGATTGAACAATCCAAAAAGGTGGCGATTGGTCCGGGCAATAGCGTTCATATCATTCTCTGATACGAGGTACCCAAACGTAGCAGAGAGCAATTCTTCTGGTAGATCAATTAAAGATACCATGCTAACCAAAGGACAAATCTTTTGGTTTTCTCGTGATGCGGATTGAGAAGGACCAACGTTGAAGGAGTGAGACTCGGTGGCGACTAGGTAGTTAGTTCGTAAAGTGCATTGTACTCAGGAGGTCCATTAGGCTATATACCCGTAAAATTATTGTATTGATTAATCCCATCTGGAAGAAAGACCCACTGCCCTCGAGTCTATCCCTAATTTCTGCTCTCACCTAGTTGAAATCGAGAAAGAACCGATAGGCAAATGGACCAGATATCGTAGTCCTGTGGGTCAACATCATTGTGGGCGCTCCCAGTTGGTTCAAAGACCTTCTTACTAACGTTAGGGCTTTCCACATATATGTCACCGGTACTTTACCAGGTTTGTTTACGCGAGTCCCTGTTGTGGCCTACATCGTATTTCTAACGAAACGGATGCCTTACGTGGGAAGCTGCTGGTGGATCTTTGTGCTTCAGCTGCAATCCTTGCAAAGGCTTGCAGATCCACTCGTAATCCAAGTGATTTTTCATCTACATGGCTATAGCTTCCTTCTAGTTGTTGCCTTGGGCTAGCATACCTTATCTTTGCCTTTCGTATTCATTATGTTGAGATGTCGGGTCTGGCATTTCCTCTTGCTGGTATGAGTTAAGCTACTCGAACTCTCACACCTGCATAGGATCACAAGGTCTTTTAGTCCAATCTGCTCCAACCCATTAGGTGTTTCGCCCGGAAGAAGCCTGGACAGAAAAAAAAACCCCAACTACTTTACGGCCAAACATTCTTCATATCACAGCCTCACAGTTAGAAGCCGCCACCATTTTCAAACCATAAAATAGTATAGCAACAGCCAACTGAGCTTGACGCCATAACACATAGCTGCGTGCTGACAGTAGGTATAGTAAGTAGCCTCGAAAGCTTATGTCTTGTGGCTACATACATACTTGGACACGTAAATCTTGGTTACGGAGATATACATGATCGTTTTCGAATCACTCACAGATATCAGACTTTTGTGGCTGTGGCGTAATGAGCCTTGTTGGAAAGCCCCAGAGTCTCTTGTTGTTGTTTTGCATTATTTCTTCTTCGTGTGTGGGCAAAAAGAAACTCAATACTCTCACCTGGAAGGTATATAGAGGTGTGTGTCTTCCGCTCTGTTAATTTATTGTAAGCTTGTCCTCGCCCATAAGTCGCTAAGAGAACAATGATGATGAGTTGATACATTTTCTGCTTGGTAGAATGAGACTTGACCTGGGTTCTTTCTTCCAGATTGGCCGCAGTATGCTAGGAGTGATGATGGGACTAACATGTCTCTATCGGTAGGACTGCAACCCAGCCGAGTTAGCTATTTGCAAGCTGGGTAGCCCATTTGGTTGTCTCTTCTCCCCTCTCCCTGAGTCCGTTTCTTTCTCTTTTTCTGCCTCCTGTCCCCCCTTCCTCTTTCATTCCATTTTTCCTACCTAGAACACAATGTTGGCTCCTGTGTTGGGGATCGTGGTGTGCCATGCAATTCAAGACCAGCATGCAATTAGGAATCGGGTTTATATCTCCATGTAATAATGCAAAGATGACCTCTTCCCTCCCTTTGTTCTTCAAAGGCCTCTGAGGCTCTGGATTGGGGTTAGTGAATTGGGTACCGTGTAAACTTAGAAACAAAGAAGAAACAGGCAGCCCGAGACCTAACATCACTCGGTGATTTGACACAAGTAGCGATGGGGCTAAGGACAGAGTTTTGCAGCACAGAAACATGATATCTAAACCTGGTCATCAGATTCTAATTGCAATTAGAGAAATGATGACGCAAATTATATTCGTTAATTATTAGAAAAAAAAAAGTTAGAGAGTTACAAATACTTTATTGATTTTCAACACTCGCCATGCTTGCTTGAGCCCTGAAGATTAAGTCTTGGGTGTCATTATCCTCATATTTATCCTGGTACTCGACCAAAATCTTTTTCCATAGGTCCCAAAATTCTGGCCTAAACGGGGCGGGCCTATCTTCTCTTCTTAGCAGAGCATCTTGTCGGAGTTTGTTGGGCGCGTAGATGAGCCACAGACACAGCAGACGGATCTCATCTTCTCCAAGATCCCCTGTTGGAAAATCGACGGTGCCAGCCACAGCATCATAGCACCAGCTGACGGTTTCGTTCAATTTATAGAAGCCCAGTTCTGAGAGCTGGGCAAGAAAGGCATAGAATCTTTCACTGGCTAGCGTAGCACCAATATTAATGTGCTCTGTGATTTGTTCGGGAACTATAGCGTAGACAAGGTCTCAGTATAATCTCGCCATGAGCGGAATGAAGATGCTACGTACCGTAACCGTGGACGTAATCACGCCAGACAATAATCACATAGGGAATGTCTGTCCAAAGAACTGCATCTATTTCCAAACACTTGAGCACACCGGCATTCTGAGTATCTGGGGCAGTTTCTTTGGAAAGGAGCAACAAAAATTCAATCAATTTTGATTGTTGATCATGTGGCGTGCTCATGGCGAAACGGAGAATGCCGCACGCGATGTAATAGGCGTGATTCGATATTCGACGCTGTGGGTTCTCTGCACTCTCTGCCAACTCCATGCCGCGTTCTACGATCCTCTCCACTGCCCTGGCAGGGGATGAATCATCTTGATTAAAAAGTGTTTGAAGTATTTCTTCTTCTACTGTAAAGTCACTCTGCCTTAGTTAGATATGCATCCGGCGTTGCTGGGCATTGAAGAACTCACCCTAGGGACCGGGATGACTGCAAGCACCATGGTGACAGTAACAGTTGCGATAACAAGACAGCACGGAATCATGAATATCGGGAAGAATAGCGAGGGTGTTAGATCATTTATACATGATGAAATGCAAAGTATGATCAGCAACCAACAGCAATAAGCGACTGCTGCCTGCCAACAGCCAGCCGATGATTGGTAAATTACAATGCTCAAGTAAATTGGTCTTGACAGGCCTTTCCTGAATTGGGCAAGAAAGACGGGCAAGTTGATTGAAATGGCGGCACAGTTGACCAGAACAGAAGAATGCTGCGGCTAAGGTGGTGCCTCCCTGTCATTTTTTTTCGCAAAATCAGGCTTACCAAAAAAGAAGGGGCGCAAGAATGGAACGGCGTAAGACTCAGCCGAGCCAGCAGCCTGGAGGACAGCGCATAACACGTATATATGAGCTGTCCATGCATATCCTTTGTGGCTGATCTGTCGGAGTAGGAGACTCGTCGTCTATCTACATATACGCCCAGAAAAGACCACTTTTTGACTCGCACCAACATATCGCCAATTCAACGACCATGGCCACGGAGCAGGGCGAAACCAGGGCGGAGGGTGCCACCACACCTCTCAACGACCAAACCTCGGAGGTACTGTACTTCAACGAGTATAATCGCCATTTCAGGCGTTTACTACGGAGCGTTGGGCCGAGCGACAACCCCGATGTGTTTCCAATTAAGAAAGAAGAATTAATCTCATGTAAGTGCGAATACAAGGCTTTAACCGGGCTGAAAATGTACTGACGATTTCTGTGTGTAACTAGGGGGCGTGGGTGCAGGTTTAAATCGTTTGGTCATCCTAAGACAGGGCCCTGGGAACCGCCAATACCTTGGCTTCGTCAACCATAAGCCGCATAGCTGTGAAAGACACGGCTTCGACGTAGTCCATGATGCCGCTGATGAGTGGGAAAGAAGGGAGAGGGAAGAGAAAGAGCGCAGTGCAGGAGGTGAAAGTTGAATATTCGGAGCAAATAATGGATAGATCCGGCCTGTTATCAAAAAGTTCTGTACGTATAACAGTCTTTGTGCTATGTCCATCCGTCATACCACAAATCGCTGACGCCGTATTTCAGAGATCTGCCGTGAATTAAGCTGATGGAGGGAAATGGTGGGATGCATATTATCACGCCACGGTTACTGGTCATTTTTTTCTACGGCGATGCTCTGTAGGCTCGAAGATGGCTCTATCATTGGTCACAATGTCATAAGAAGAAGAAACCTAGTGAGAACACGTGGCAGAATACAATATTTTCGGTTCATTAGTAGCAATGCGCCCACTCGTGCCTCAGATTGCCTTGCAGATAGCCTCGCAGGCAGCCCCCGAGGGTAAACGAGAGGCTTGGCCTGCACAGCCACCATGGATCAAGGTGTCAACGTGTACGTAGGATATAACCCCCAAGTAATCTACGCTGTTACAAGAAATAGTTTCTCTCTTGAGGATCGCCATTATACAAGCGTTTTATCAGCCCCATTTGTCAAATAAACTGTTGAATGTTGTGAAAAATCCCTCGGGTGTAGCACTTAAACGCCAAGGCAGGCCGAACACGCCCAACAATGAGCAAACAATCTTGCAAAACACGAGACCTAGAGTCTCAAGATTCGCATGACGAAATAACTGATATCTTCCCCGATGCTGAGCCACAGGAGCAATTTCTCCTGTTTAGGTTGCCCTTGGAAACACGCTGGATGATCTACGAATTGATCTTTAGCGAGGTTGAGGTGCCCGACGGAAGATACATGAAGAACATCAGCGATAAAGACTTTGAAGACACATCATTAGAATCCTCTACCAAAATCAATAAAAGCAAGAAGACGGTGCCCTACTGGCTCCGGCCTGATTGTACGACACGTATGATGATCTGGACAGACTTCTTGCATACTTGCAAGCAGGTATACAATGAAGCGGGCTTGTTTCCAGTAAGCGTTAACAAGCACAAGTGCTACCAGATCCATGGGCCCAGTGATGACCCTGGCGAATATCTGGAAAGATTTACATCGCGCCAGCTCACCCGAGTGCGCCATCTACACATCTATACACAACAGCACACGCTAGATGACAGCGAGATTCCATTGAAGAAACAGCTCAAGATGGCATCAGTGGGTCTGGAGCATCTAACTATTACCATACGAAACTGCTCGAGGGGTCCCCCAGAGCGAGTTGACCCTTCGGCGATCAACGAGCCGCTTCAAATCAATCCATATCGTCCAGGCATGGCTTTGCGCCAGCACATGATGGAGGACATGGAGGCAATGGAGAATGGCGGCAACTTGCTAATGCCCAAATCTGGATGGGCAGCCATGTTCACCCAACTTCACAATCTAAAGACTTTGACAGTGGAGTTTGAACATCACGAGGGCTTCGAGGACGAGCTGGGGAGACTCGCTCAGTGGGCCCAGAAGTGGCGGTTTCCCCTCCAGGAGGGTCATGTATTAGTATCCGACTTTGCAGAAAGACGGAGCTGGCGAGGACTCCTAGTACATGACTCTACGGCTTGTCGGGATTGTGGGCTGCTCAAGCCGAGCCGAGCCAGAGCAAGGGTCAATTGTGAAGGTTGCCAATGGCGGAGGCGAGGAAAAGGGCCTCGGATGATCAATTGGACGGTTAGATGGGTGAAGGAAGAAGGAAGTCTCTTCGAGGACATGACAGTGAAGCCCCGCAGAGTAAAGGGTGGCAGCACGATATCAAGAACAGAATTGGTCGGGCTGGGCTTTCAAACTCTGTCTAGCCCGTATCGAAGTCCTCCAGACCCGTTAGTACAATCTCTAGTTGATTGGGGAGTTTTGTAATGTTCTGGAGGTACATAGGAAGTGATTTGGTGAAAATGTTATGGCGAATACTGTGAGCTAGATGATGAGAAAAAGTGAATCAAGTATCACAAAATGCCGAGGTGGAGAATTGACGATGTTTCAATCTGAGTTGTCCACCCTCGGCGGCTTCAAATCAAATGGTTTGGGTAAACACCTTTTGAAACTACCTACAATAAATGTTACATTCTTCGAGGATGCCGCAACGTTAAGAGTAAAACTGCCCAACGCTAGCACCCGTGACAAGCCCAACACCATATACTTCAGACATTGTTTTGCGCGTAAAAAATAAACAGAACAAAAAAAGAAAGGACACAAAGCGGAGATGTTATCCACGAGCACTCGGTCTACAAAGGGTACAAGAATGTAGGAACGTAATAAAGCTTGAGGGTTCTGAGAGCATTATTATTTGTTACTTGTTACTACCTTTTTAGATGGGAATCTTTGTAGCCCGCGTGTTTTTTTTCCAGTCGTGTCTCTCGAGGCTACGGGTTGCTCAAAAGCTTGTTGTTTTACGCAAACATAACAACCGCTCCTGTTAGCGGCCTGCTTGCTCGCTAAGCGAATGTTCCAAACATTGAATCAATGACTATTCAACAAGAGGCAACCCATATACGAAATCGACCTCACCTGCTTCAAATGAAATTTTGCCGTCAACATCATCATCTTTCGTCTTGAGTTTGCTGACTTCACTTCCGATCGTTACCATGGATTCTTCCCGTGTGGTTCCGTACAACATCATTCACGATGCACTCCCTAGGAAAGAGCTTATGAATGCCCCCATTGAGAGCTATCGTATCCAACACCTACCCTTAGAACTCTCATTTGAAGGTGTCATGGGAGACGAGATACGGGATCGCCTAGCCATAACAATTGACCTCGTTCACATCATTAGATCCGCTGATGCCCGTCTAGACGGCTACAAAAGGGTGCGCGTATGCGTGCTGACAAATACCTGCCTTCGCTGTTATGGATCTGAAGATAAAGACCGATATGCGAGGCTTCTTGAGGATCCTGATGGTTACCGCTATGGTTCGCGGACCAGATTTCCACGAGGAAGGAAGACGTTTGGCGATTTAATTAGCGCCTTTGAGACGTCCAACATCCCGAATTTCTTGTTTACCCCCACCAAGGGACAGGGTCCTGCGTTGGGTCTTGCGTAAGTTCAAGACTTCTGATCGGAAAAGGTATTCAATTTTGCTAACAGACTCTCAGTCTCCAATCCCTTTATCGACTGGTTAGACATGGGAAGATTAAAGGAAGCGCTAAGAAATTTTTGAAGGGCCCATCAATGCATGAGGATGAATCAAATCATGTATGTCGGATCGCGACAACGGCCGACATGGAAAACGCCCTGGCTCTGTTCGAGGATTTTTGAATCCGGCGGAGTCTTCAAGTCTCGCAATTGAAAGAGGAAGTTTGGCAAATACGTACGGCGGGAAGATGGAATGCCATTGGTTGATGAAGATTACAAAGACATCTGGGTATTTTCGCTATCTCCAATTTCACGCCTTCTCAACCTTTGAAGTCGTGCTGATCAACAGATTTGCTTTCTAAATGTGGAGGCGGGTGATCTGCGACAACTTGGAAAGCTGGAGACAATCATTTCGGGAATTTTTAGTAACTATAAGGTTTCTGATTGATTTTATCTAGGCTGAATGGTTCGCTTTTCGAAATGACAGTACAGATTATATTATTACAACTTCTCGACGTAGACTTTGAGACCCCCTTCCATTGGCAGTGTCAAATGATTCCGACTAACCTTCTCACCCTCATAAGCCGGCGAAAAGTTGAACAAGGACACCAGTTCCAAGATCACCTGCACGGCAACCATCTCAGCCATCTTCTTACCGAGACAAAGTCGCGGCCCACCCTGAAAGACTGGAAACTCGGCCGCTTCCCTGTATCTCATCCGTCCGTCAACAAGCCATCTCTCTGGGCGAAAGTCAGAAGCATCCTCTCCCCAGGTGTCTTTTGAACGATTCATTGCCCAGGTGCACCAAACCACGATCGATTTGCTTGGAAGTAAAGTACCATCGGGCAGTAAAACATCGGACTGCGCCTGTTTGATCTCAAAGGGAATGGGAGGATACAGCCGTATGGTTTCATAGAACACGGCAGTAGTGTAGGCGACCGCCTCTGGGGAAGGTTCGCCGTGGGAAGGCTGGGATGGTGAATGGCGGGTGGAAGAAGCCCCCATCAGCTCTCTGATTTTGCAGGCCACACGAGGGTGTCTCATAAGCAAATAAAAGGTCCAAGATAGAGCCTGGGCGGTGGTGTCTCTGCCAGCGGACAGAAAATTCAAGGCTGATTCTGCGACAAGGCCATCGTCACCCAGAGCCTTTAGAAGACCCTTCAGGAAACCTTTGGAGGCTCTTCGAAGGTCTGTACTGCCAAAACAAATGTCGGAGTCTTTGGTTAAAAGAGAATGCGAGACGAGCTGCACACCCCGGGTCTTTATCAATTTCAAGGCTCTTTGGAATCGAAAGCCACTGAAAATTTCAGTGAAGCGCCACAGCGGGTTCTGGAAGCGCTCAGAAACAACGCCAGCAGAGTAGTCAAAGGCCTGGGTGAAGCTGTCGTGGCTTTGCAGCTCGACGCCATAAACCATCTTGCTAATAAGCTGTGTGGTGATTTCTAGGATACTGGCATCGAGGTCGACAATCTCCGTAGTATCAGCCCTTTTAGTAAGGTGTCGAATAGTCTTCCCCAGGATGGCTGGAAGTTCATGACCGGTGACGATGTTCATGTTTGCGCCAGCGAGCAGCTGTACGCCGACCTTCCGCTGCCTCTTCCACTGGTCGCCATCAGAGTTGACGATTCCATTGCCAAACAAGTCGTTTAATCTTGCTTTGAAGAATGCGCCTTTTTGAAATATGGGCTCATTCTTGAAGACAAAATCGAGATTCGCAGGGTCGGATATGATGACACCTGGGGGCAAGGAGGGCACAGTGATGAGAAGGGTTTCACGGCCGTGCAGATGGATGCACTTGGTAAACCAGTCGAACAGGTTCTGGCGAGGCTGGATGAATTTGATGCCGTTGCCGAGGAATGGCAACGTGCCAGGGGCTTTCCTGCTGTAGCATCAGTTTTTGTCTTTTCTGGAAGTTTGTCTGAGAGAAGTGACGGTGGTTGGTTACCTGAGTGCGACACCGTAGCGAGTAATTTCTGGGGTATTGATCCAGCTGTGCAATTGCTCAGAAATAAATACCAGAATGACCAATATGGCAGATAATGCCAAATTCTGCAATAAATCCATGTCGATGGTGGGAAATATCCAACAGTTGACTAACAACGTCCGTAGGGTAGCTGTTAGTGCGCGGACTTTGCCGGAAGGCAAGGGAGGGGATGAGATTTGGTGGAGGAGAAGATATCACAGTGGATGACAGACACAGCTATTAATAATGTCTGTTTAGATCTCGAGTTATGGGGCACCAAGTTGTAGGGCAAAAATGACCTAACTTGACTTGTCGGTGAATCAGAGCTTGTCTCAGCGGACGGATGAAGTCACCATTACATGTCCGTCACACCCCAGCCCCCTAATCATCCGTTAGGCTGGTTTCTGGGGCGCAACATCGGCCGCCGTTCAAGGGAATGCTGACGGAAGGGTAAGACGGGCGCTTGCATGCCCGCAGTGGCTCATGGCCGCATCCTGTGTGGGCGGCCCACGGGAGCACATGAATACGCGTAAAGTTGTTCTTGGCCGTGGACCTGCATTGTTGCATCACTGTTTTCATCGTTGCCTTGTTCTCTCTTCATCTTGATTGCCATACAGAATTTACGAATACGAAAATTCGACAAAGCCTCGCTGGTTGTACTGTCGCCAAATGATTGCATGTCACGTACTTCCACTGCCCTCCCTTGTATTAAATTAATTAATTCGAATTATTCTATACTGCCAACCTTGTATTACGTAGCTACAACAAAACAAAATAAAAAGAAATGAGTGACAAAATGCCTATCCAATAGGCGTCAAAGCACCTCTGAAGGGAGTTTGGAGGCCATCTAGTGCGCCATCTTTCAACCTCCAGACTCCTTTCGTCTCCGAGGCCGACAGATGCCAGTTTATTCCCTCTGCCAAGCGGTGAAAGACCGAGTGCTCCTCACCCGGAATACTCTCAAAAAGAAACGGCTGCCAAGACACCCCACTGGCTTTCTCGTCTCGTCTCATCTGGCGCTGTCCTTCCTCAACTATGTGTTTTGCTCTAGAAACCGTCATCCAATCACTCCCGCGCACTCCCTGAATCACATCGTTCCAAGCTCTCCGTGACTCCCACGGGTCTTGATCCTTGACATCTGCAATCTGCATAGGCTCTGGATCGTTCTCCTCTGCTTCGACGTCGTATTGTTTAATGATCTTGCCCGTCACGCCGTCCTTGACCTCCCATCCTTTGGACCAACTTCCAGAAGCTACATACAGCGGCTTTTCGCGGTCATCATCTTTGTGAAAAATGCGCGCTTCGAAGTAATTCTTCTTCCCACGTAGGAATCCAGCGCCTGAAAATGTGATCTCAGAGATGTAGCCGCTGCTGGACACAATCTTGTATGTCCCCCATAGCTCGGGGTACAAGCACGTGGAAAGAAACCCGCGCACCTGGGCTGTGGGTAGCGGCAGAAGATGGTCCTCGTCGTACTTGTCAATATGAAGAACCGCATGGCCCGTCTGGCGAACGTTGAGGCTCCCAGAGAACGTCATTTCCACGCGAGAGTAGCCCTCGGCACGGATGCCATGCTCGCGGCTGGCGACATGGATCGCCGTGATGGGCGGGTGATGGCTGACTTGCTCTGCTGCCACTTCTGTCGATGCGATTCCAGCCTTGTCGGTGTACTTCGCGAAGAAGAGCTCTCCGAGAAACGCATTCAGCGGCTTCTTGATGCTGACATTTGGCCCTCCCGCGATGTAGTACTGATTACGGAGGCCAATGAGAAACATGCGGAGGACCAGGAGACTGCGCTTTTGGGGACTTGATTCAAGTGCCGGGGCAGCGAAGACGGCTGGTCGCTCGGCCCAGCAACGAGGATTCTCGACCACTGAGGACGGCGCGAGAAATGAGGGGGGAGCAGTTATGTTTGCAAGGTCTCCTTTGATTGTTGAGAGGACCTAGAGATGGTCAGTAAGGTCTGCAAGTTTGATCCGGATGCGTGAATCCACGAGAAGGTGACGGCACCGACCTTGACTAATTCCGTGATTCTCATGGGAGAACCCTTGGTCTCCGACCGGGTCAAGACTATCTGCTGTGTGGTCATCATTGGAATGAGAAGAATGTGTTTGATGTAAGAGTGAGTATTAAGGTAATGGTGAGCTTCTTCATCTTTTCCATCGTTCGTGGCGGGTTACTTATCAATTGACGCTGCTGGCGATGAGCCTCAAACTATCCCGCCGTCACCATCACCAGCTAGCCACATCTCCCCTGGCACCAAAGATAGGGTCGGCCGCCGTGCATTAGCTGGCTGTTTGAAATGCCGTTTACCGAAGCCACTTCGCCCACAATTAGGGCTGTGCAAAGACCCGTCGGTTGCCTCCGCACGGGAGAGAGGCACCGCGTCATCTCCGCACCTCCATCTCTGATATCTATTACTGTAGCATCGGTCGGCCGCCACAGCGAACGAGGCGCGGTACGAATACGAGCGACATGTTGCCTTTTTTGTGTCTGATGTATCTTACTCCAGATCATGGTTAGAGATATGTAATGTGAAATGGCGAGTAGTACGCATACTCAATCGCGAAACGTTTCTTATTATCCTAGTATTATTCTACGGCTTTGCTAATTCCTAGAATTAATCCATTTGATTTGCATTATCGAAAGACACACGAAGGCGGAATACCCAAAAGCAGTGGGAAATGGCTCCTCTAATTCCTAGAATGCATCTCTTTGAGATTGATGACCAGCCTTGGTAGGTCTACCTCACATTATACATTATTGACCTCAGACAAATAAACTGCAAATGCTGAATATATTCTGATCACTGTAGGTTCCCACCGGCATTGCGGACATTGTTCCAGGCGGCTCTGACAGTCACTTGGACCCTCCCTCTACCAATTATTCAGTCACACCCTCCAGCAAAGATCGTTGCCCAAGTGCTTCTCGAAGAACTGGGCTCCGATATCTCAGACTACAATTTTATAGACTTCTGTGCTGGTGCAGGAGGGCCTACGCCCTTTATCGAGAGTTACATCAACGCGCATCTACGGAAGGGAAATGCAAAGGCCGTGAATTTCACGCTCACAGATCTTCATCCCAACATAGAGTACTGGGATTCTGTTGCCGCCGCCAGCCCCCATCTCTTCTACGAGAGCAAGCCTGTGGATGCCACCAAGGCGCCCAGGCACCTCGTGAAGCCAGCAGATGGAAAGAAGTCAATGCGACTCTTCAACCTGGCCTTTCATCACTTCGATGGCCGCTTGGCTGCACGGATTCTCCAGGACACGGTAGAGTCTAGCGATGGATTCGCCATATTTGAACTGCAGGATCGGAGTCTCCGTAGCTTTGTTGCCGTGACTCTGCTTGCTGTCGGCACCTTGCTCCTGGCGCCATACTACGCATTGAAATGGAAGTCGCCTCTGGCCTTGGTTTTCTCGTGGCTGATTCCAATACTGCCGGCCGCTCTAGCTTGGGATGGCTATGTCTCGTCTCTACGAACGAGAGAGCCTGAAGAGGTGGAGGCTCTTCTCAGGTCGTGCGGAGCTGATACATCCCGGTGGGAGCTGAGAAGTGGCAGTGCCGCGCATCTCTGGCCTGTTGGGTATGTTAATTGGATCGTATGTAGAAAGATCTAGTGGGAATCGTAATTGAAGAACCCTGAGGGAGGGAAAACGGTATTGTGGTATTAGATACTTCATTCATTAATCTATCCAGACTTCATTCTCTCTTCATTTTCTCTCTGCCCTCAAACTATTTGGATGAATCACTGGTTGTAGCCCACGATAACAACAGTTGCGTATCAAGTTTCACTTTGGATTGCGCTATGAACACCTACAGGTGACCGATTCCACCCCCATTCCAATCTCCAGCGTGGATTATCCTCATGGTCAAACATCACGCCGAATATGTCATGAGAACAGGGACCCTTGCATCTCGGTTGGGCACCGATGACATGTAAGCACCCTACCTTTTTCAACGTGCACTGCCTCCCTTCCCGACATGTCGGGAACTAACTAACTTTGGTAGCTTGTGTGCCGGGATCGATACGCGTATAGACGATTGGCCTCATCCCACCATCTTCATTCCACACCTCGTTTTCGGGACATCCCTCGCATCCCACACCAACTCTCGGCTGTTAGTCCTCGATCGCGGCCGCCGCTAGTAACGGTCTTTCAAACCCCATGCAGCATTGAGCAGAGGGTATGTCACCGCCGTGCCATGAGCGTGGCTATCATCAGACCCTGGCATGGTCTAAGCCACATGTTACCATGCACCGGACCAAGTGGGATCCTGTAGTCCACATTAGCAGGTCTCGCTTAGAATTAAGATGTTTCTGGCTATACGAAAGTACCAAGGTAATAGAAAATCATTAGAAACCAATGTTGGAGATCCTCTGGCAACTGGCGCATGTAGATTTGAGTGAGAAACTCTGCCTCCTCTCCATCAACACATCTAATTTTTCATCACCATGACCACAGTCGTCATTCTCGGTGCCGGTTTCTCTGGAATCGGCATCGCTCACAAGCTCCTCAAGTACACGCTGCCCAAGGTCACTGATCTGAAAGTCATTTTGGTCTCGCTATCCACGCATCACTTCTGGAACCTGGGCTCAGTGCGACGTGTTATCCCTGGGGAAGTTCGAGATGCCCAGATCTTCCGTGAGATCGCACCTGGCTTTGAGCAATATCCAAAAGATGCTTTTGAGTTCATTGTCGGTGTAGCGACTGGATTTGATGCGGCGAGCAACAGAGCACAAGTCAATGTCGGCGACGAGACAAGAGACATTGAATATTCTCATCTGGTTGTAGCCACGGGCTCATCGTATCCAACAAAGCTACCTTTCACAACTGTTGGATCCCACGAAGAAATGCTTGACTCCTGGCGCGAGCTGCAAGCCAAAGTTGAGCAGGCGGAATCCATCGTCATCTCTGGCGCCGGTCCAACAGGCATCGAGACAGCTGCGGAGCTCGCTTCCCATTTCGGTGCCTCCAAGAGCATCACCGTCATTCTCGAGGGCGACAACCCTCTCCGTGGCTTCATGCCCCAAGTTGGGAAGATTGCGGCAAACGACCTCGTCGGTTTTGGTGCGAAGCTGGTCCGCAATGCACGCGCTGTCAATTCCACCAAGACCGACAGCGGCAAGACCGTCGTGGAGCTTTCCAACGGCAGCACCCTCGAGGCAGATCTGTACCTGCCCTTGTACGGAAGCCGGCCCAACACGCAATTCGTGCCGCCTCACCTCTTCGATGATCGTGGAAACCTCAAACTGGAAACCACCCTACGGGTTCAAGGGCTCCACAATGTCTGGGGAGTCGGCGACGTTGGCAATCTGGAGAGCAAGCAGCTCATATACGCCGAGAGGCAGGCCTTGCACCTTGGCGGCAATCTACACGCCGCTCTCACCGGAGGCAATGTGAAGCCGCTCCCAGCAACGGTTACTCCACAAGTCTTTGTCACATTGGGGAAGAACAAAGGAACCGGGCAGTATGGCTGGTTCAGGGTTCCTGGCTTTGGGATCACCACTACGAAGGGGAGGGATTTCTTCATGAGCAAGGGGGATGGTCTCATATCTGGAAAGAATATTGTTCGATCTTCAATTTAGATAGTTAGAGAGAGTTTCATAGATGTTGAATTTAGATTTGGAGGATTTCTAGATAGGGGCGAGTTTGCATGCTGCACTTAATCATATTGGAATTACAAATCGCTGTCGAGCCTTCGACCTGGTGAATTACCTAGCACATTGCCTCCAGACACTACAAACAGCGTGAACAATAGTGCATGGATGGCAAAGTGAGTAGCCGGTCCCCCCAAGGTCTTTTCCGTCCCAACCTGGCCTTTCTCCTTCCGCTGGACCAGCCTCGACGCAGCACGGTATATTGGCCAGAGGTGCCAAAATGCAAAGGCAAGGGCCATAATACCGAAGGTCCGATCAACCTCTGGTTGGCAGAGAAATATCAGGCTGGTGAGACTGGTAAATAGAAGACAGCCTCCATAGCATTGGAGTACTAGGCGCATGTCCTTAGACGGACGTGATATCTGCTGCTGCGGATAAAAAATGAAGGTGGAGGCCGCAATGGTCTCTACCACTGCGTGAAGCAGAAACGGAAGCTTGATGGCGGGATCCATGGTTTGGGTGCAACTGGCGGTAAGGGGTTTGAGGAAGGATTCGGGCGTGAACTTGCAGCAGCTGCATTAGGCAGTGTGTTCTTGAGTTCGGAGGATGGAGTGATGAATTCTCGGGCATGGCTTGGCGGTTTCTGGCTCAGAATGGTGAAGATGGCCGCGAGTCTTCCCAATTTGTCAGCGAGAGATGAGATAGCCCAAAGTCCCTGAGCCACATGGTGATGTGGCAAGTTCACATCAGTAGGAGAAGCTTCTTGCCTCTTCAGGCAGTGTGTCAGCACACTAACCAACGTATTCGGCTCGGCTAGATCGATGGGGGTACAAGGGTAGCAGGAGGGAGATGGATGTGGGGGAGGCGGCCGCCGTGCCAAGACTGAGTTCAACACCATATCATCATCTCCACTCCCTCCACCCCGACGGCGGGTTCAAGGGCTGTCACTGATTGTGTGGTGATTTGACAGCGGCGGAAGCGTTGCTGCCGGCCAACATCCCGTGTCCGCCTTCTAGAGAGGGTCAAGAGGCGCCGTCTAAGATGGAATTTGTCCGGTTTGAGCTTGCATAGCCTCAATGCTGTAGGGCTATGCCAAAAGTCTGCGTTGCAATGATGGCGTCCGTTGACTAGCTGGGACTTGTCTGGTTGCGGACAGGTCTAGCTTACATTGTTTTGTGTTCTATCTGTCCGTGCTGTAAATGCTTCGTCTTTTAAGGATATATATGCCGGGCATCTCTTCGCTTTGCTGATTTCACCAGCACAAGCATCCATCTTCTTAACAAAATTCACCTTACTACTCATTCATAGCTCAGACTATTGCGTATCAACTATTATCACGGCTCCAATGGACAACACATTTGGGGAGCTAGGACTTTCCATTATCGGAGTCGGTGTGCAATACCCACGCTTCAATCTCGCACCTGATGGCTTGGAAACATTGAGCAAAAGATTTTATCCAGACACCCCGTCGTAAGTTGTTGATCTGAGTCTTGACCAGGACAATGAAATGAATACGGCTAACTGTCTCCTCTGCAGCATGAACAAAGTCCTTTCCATCAACCGATTCACTGGCATCGAAAACAGGTCCTCCATCGGGACGATTGATCACCCATTGGTCAATCAACAGACTGCCCCTTCTGTTTCGCAGCTGCACGAGGTGTTCGTCGAGGACGGAGTCCCTCTCGCCATTACCGCCGCGCAGAAGGCCATCGAAGAGTCACGCATCCGGCTCGCAGACATTACACATATCGTATCAACAACATGCACCAACAATGCGAACCCGGGGTTCGACAATCTAGTCGTGACTGGCCTTGGTATCAAGCAACAAGTAGAGAAGGTGCTTCTTCAGGGAGTGGGATGTAGCGGAGGGCTTGCTGTTCTCAGAACTGCTTCCAACTTGGCCCTAGGCCGCACCGCCCAGCGCAAACCAGCTCGCATCCTCTGTGTGGCACTAGAACTATGTACCCCTCTGGTGCGCAGTGAATTTGATAGTATCAACGAACTGCAGGAGGTGAGGATCGGCCTGGCGCTCTTCTCAGACTGCGCCAGCGCCTTGATCCTCAGCAATGATGTTGGAGGCCACGCAGAGCCAATTTACGATGTTCTTGGATGGGATCATAGGATGATCCCAGACACTGCTGAGCATCTCAGATTTGATTCTGATCCGCTTGGTAAGTATTCTCCATTCTTTGGACTTGAGAAGAGGCGACTGACTGAGACTTTTTCTGCTAGGCTGGAAGGTGGTTCTCACCCCTGATGTGCCAAAGGTCGCTTGTGCCGCCGTCCCTCAAGCTTTTTCAGACATACTGGCCTCTGTCCCTTCCATTCCCAGCTCTCTGCAAAATGCGGACGACTTTGATTGGGCATTGCATCCTGGCGGTGCAACTATCCTGACGGGAACGGAAAAGCAGATGAACATTACGCCATACCATTTGCGTGCCAGCTACGACACGTACATGAAGCATGGAAATTCAAGCTCTGCGACCATCTTCAGCGTCCTAAATCGCCTACGAGCGAAGGACATGGATGATATAGCTCCTTCAGGCGGTCCTCGCGAGTTTGTCATGGCTTGCGCGTTTGGACCAGGAGTTTCCGTCGAGATGTGCGCGCTGAGGAGGAGCCGAAACTATTTGCGGGCTGACGATTGTTTGACACCGCCTCTTGATGAAGCTGATTTGGATTTGGATTAGTCTGTTGAATGATTGATGAGAGATCGTAGTCGACCAGTCACAAAGTTCGTGATGGATTTTACAGCAATTTTTGGATCGAATAATACATAGTAATGATGGAAATGGGCAGTCGGTTTTTTTATATGAATGACTTATACAATTCTAATCTACTTTATCTTTCAGTTAATATTGGAACCTAGTCACATTGTAAAACGTGATAACGCTTGACCAAAACCATCTCTTGTCAAGCTCTCAACCATCAAATTGATGGCGGATGGGCGATGATCTCTGTGAGATGCACCTCTAGACACTACTTAGCCCAATCTTGACCTAGTTTTATGGCCTGTGTGAGGTGTGTATGGTATCGTGCAGTCTCAAGCATAATTTTATATATCCGTCAGTATCTAGAGCTTGGAGGGTTTCCAAACAGGAGAGCGCTTTTGCTCAAATGCCCTCAGACCCTCACGTATGTTTTCACCACGCTCCAGCAATGCGAAATACGTCCGGTGCCATTCTTCGGTCGCCTGCTCGACATCTGCCGTCTCCCAGGCTTGCCGTAAGCCGGCTCGCGCGCAAATAACGCCATCGGGACTATTCTCTGCAATCATCGACGCATATCGTAGAGCCTCGTCAACAACGTCACCCTCGGGAACCACCTTATTGACGATACCCCATCCGTGCATCTCCTGTGCTGTTAACCGCCTCCCCGTCAAGACGATTTCTGACGCAATCTGCATCCCAGCGGTGTGAACTATCCGTGTTAGAACGCCTCCAGTTGGGGCAAGTCCGCGCTTCACTTCGGGAAGGCCAAAGATGGCTGTGTCTGCCGCAACGACGAGGTCACAGTTGACGGCGAACTCGCATCCACCTCCGAATGCAAATCCATTGACTGCAGCAATGATGGGTTTCTTTCCCTTGCGTCGTGTGAATGGGGTGCGACCTTTCTGAAGGCCGAAGCGCTCTCCTTTGTTCCCTTCTAAAGTACGTCTCCATTCCTTGAGATCAGCACCGGCGGTGAAAGCCCTCCCGGTGCCAGTGACGATCATGACGCGGAGAGTTGGCTCATCGTCATACCAGTCCAATGTTGAGTCGAGCTCTCGCAGGGCATCTGAGGAGAGCGCATTCAGGGCCGAAGGGCGATCCATTCGAGCTAAGAGGACATGCTCTCTAGGAACCGTGAGCCTCAGAAAGCTCAGTCCCTGGGGTGGCTGTGTGGCTGTTGGGATTGGTGCTGACATGGCTTAAGCTGTATCATATCATAGTGCCGGGTTCCAAAGCAGATGTGCCAATGGCTTTTGTTCCTGTTTCCCCGGGTAAACAAGCCCCGCCACCTCTTTTCCCGAGGTTTGGTTACCAGAGATTATCTCCTCATGCTGCGATTGGTCCTGAGAGTCTGACTCGACTCTGCCGAGTCAGTGTGGGGTAACGCTGAACTGTGTGGATCAACCTCCACCAACATCGAATAACCTGGGGAATGGCTATCCCGCAGTGGTGAACTTGTGTGCCAGCATGCCCTGTAGCAAGATTCCTTCTATTCTCTTCCTACGTACAGATGGTCTTGGCCGAAGTCTCGTGACCTCTCTGGGCCCATCTGATCCTTGTCGATTTCCTTTAGGATACCCCTCTTCGTGCATCTTCCCCTTTGACCAGGTATTGCTTGGATTTGAACTGTGCTCGACAAGAAGTTGGCTAGTTTCATCGAAACATCGAAATCGGCATATTTATTTTTACAATTCCCGGCGCCTGTCATCATGAGAGTCACTCACGAGCAACCATCGCCGGAAAGTGCCTTGATCGGCACGAGACAGCTCCCCCGTCCCAACCGCCAAAGGGCCTCCGTCGCGTGTCTTCACTGCCGTAACCGAAAAATACGGTGTGATGTCTCCCGTCGAGGCTATCCTTGCGCCAATTGTCGCCTTGACGACACGGAGTGTGAGGTTGTGTGCCGCTCATCATCTAGGTAAGCTCACTCATCAGTGGTGTGTATTTATGCCACGATCATCACTAATGAATAAAATGAAAAGGGTATCTAAGCGACGAAAGGATTCCTTGGCTACTTCATCGGAAGAAACCCCCCCAACAGCTGAGCCATCGTCTACTACCTCTTCCGCGGGCTTTCTCAACACTATGCCAGTCATATGGGAATCATCTTCCCCGACAGAGACACTAGCACGAGACGAAACCTCGACTTCCATAGATAACTTTCCATCATGTGAGGTGGATTTGCTAGACTTAGGGGCCGTCCCAGTTACTATGGCACCACCCGCGTCGATGGCACCCACGATACACTCTAGGCGTCCTGGTCATTCGCTCAGAAAAGAAGGACGCAGTGATGTTTTATATACATATCATCCATTCCTAAGCCACAATGATCTATCTCATCTTGAACCCAGAGATTTGAATCTCCTAGAATCGCAGTCCTGCCTACGGGTGCCGACTCGTCCTATCCTCCACGAGTTCATCCGGCAATATTTCTTATATATCCACCCTCTTCTACCCATGATGGATGAGGCACGCTTTTGGAGAACTTATAGAGGGGAGGATGGTCCAGAAGAGTATATTTCTCTTCTACTCATCCAAGCGATGCTCTTTGTTTCATGCAACGTACGTCCCATCGTGTCACTCTTGAACTATTAACTGAATTACTGACGGCGACTAGTATGTATCACCTGAAATAGTTCGATCGTTGGGTTTCTCTTCTAACAGATCTGCCCGGGCAGAATTCTACCGGCGAGCGAAGGTAATACCTCCACACTCATTGCACACTCATTACACACATCAAAACCCATATGCTGTTAATACTAACGCCTTGCCAGATCCTATACGATATGAATTCCGAACTGTCTTCGTTTACAATTAGCCAAGCCGCCTTACTCTTGACATCCTGGACGCCACCCGCCAATCCAAGGGGGATGAAGCCCAACACTCAGTGGCTCTCCATAGCAATAGAGCATGCTCGGGCTGAGGGGGCACATCTCTACGGACAGCAGCGAGGCCCAGGCTCCAAGGGTCCCAGCGCACATCAAGCCCTGGCGAAAAGGCTATGGTGGTGTTGCATCATCCGCGACCGTATACTGTCTCTTGGTGTGCGGCGAAGGATCCAAATCGACCGCGAAAGTTTCGACTTCGACTCGAACAGGCGCCTGAATCATTCCGACCTAGCTGGTGAGGTAGATGGATCAGGGGTCTACTGCAAGAAAGCCAAGATTTCATTGATACGAATTCTGCTGCGGGTCGTAGACCTCTGCGTCTCACTCACGGATCTGCTCAACCTCGCCCACCGCCTTGAGTTCTACCGCGAGGGAGACAAAGAACAGTGGCTTCCCCATCTACAGCAGGTTAGGACAGTGAAGGAAACCCTGAGAATGTGGCACGAAGTGACCAAATCTGAGTTTTCCTGCTCTCTTGAGCAACTCAGACGCGCTAGCAAGCACGATGAACAGTGCAAGGCCGTCGCAGTTCAACTTCACGTCATGTACATGTATTATCAGTATGTCACGCAGCACGCATTGATGAGAAACGTTCTAACAAGTTTCTTTACAGTTCTGCAGGAATAGCGCTAGCCCATTACGAGATACTACTCACTACAATGGTGATTCCTACCGGCACACCATATACTATGCTCAGGCCTTCATACCTTTCTAAGCTTTTTTGCGAGCTGCAGGATGCATCTGAAAGTCTCTCTGACTGTCTTGATGGTCTTCTAAAAGAGGATCTAATACCATTACTTCCTATTAGCACGTACGTATTCACCAACAACGACGCCGCTCAGCACTTTTTCTAACAGTGAGTTTCTAGAATTGCATTGATAGTCTTCCCCCTTATCCATCATACTTTGGATCTCTACACCACCCATGACGACTCGTACGCTGCTCAGATATTGAGAAAAAGTCGGCTTGGTGCCTTGACTGAAGCAATGAACAAATTCGAGCAGACATACGACGGCGTCGAGTGGGTGAAGAGCATGCTTAGGCAAGTACTCGATCTCGGTGAGTCTCGCCTTAGCGAGGGTCACAGAAATCGAGAATGGAAAAAGAATCTCTCATCATCGCCAGCCCCATATCTGCGAATAGCATTTACTATCGAATTCAGCCTTAGCCGAAGTTATTTCTTTCAAGAGGCGGATGCCCCAGCTTATTTAGAGACGGTCTTCAAGGATAGACCAACCCCCGTCATTGATTACACTGAACCGATGATGATGGTTCAACCTAGTTTCGCCATCCGTGATACAGCAGAGGCTTTAGATGAGGATTGGGAGAAGCTTTTACAACTACAGACCACGGCGGAGGAGTCTATGCTTGAATCGGAATCTGCCACTACCACCCCGATGGACGGTTACCGTGACATTTTTGACTTGGCCATGGTGGAAGATACTCTGTGAGGTGCTTGGGATGGATTTCCCACGGAATGTTGACACCATTTGCTTCAAAATATGCTCTTAGTTAGAAGCGTAAGATCTCAGACGGACTTTTAGAACAGATATTAAATCCAAATCGAATCGAACAGTACAGTAGTAGTTTTGTGGTCTGTCCAGCTTTATCAACAAAGTTCATCACATAACATGTGGAAAGCCGAGAATCTACATAGCTACATTAGATGGCCTTCTCGGTTATGTTTACCCTTGCTCTTATCTCCAAAGTGCACTTTTTCGTTGAAGAGCCCAGGCAATCCTGGACTTCCAAAGCGAAAGAATAAGAAAATACCTTGAATGAGAGCAAAAACCAGTTATTCAGCAAGAATCGATAATGCTGTCTACTCTCCAATCGGATAGATCATTGATTTTGGAGTATCCTGAGCTATTGGGCACTAACACAAAAAGTTGGTTAGGGCGGCGGGAATACATTTCCAGTAGCCACACATCACTTCTGACTCGACCATGTCTGACTCAACTGCTAACGTGTGTACCACCAAACAATCAGCAATGACCGGGATTAGCGCCTGGATCCCCAAAAAATAAGCAGCACAGTACCCGGTTCAGCCCAGCTACAGTGCACTTTCAGCGATAATTGGTGCTTTCGACCTGGGGAAACGGGTCGACTTCGCTAGAATGCGGGGGGGGATTGGGTCCAAGTAACAGTGCAAACATACTACCGGTAGCGGCAGGTTTTGTTTTGCGGGGTATTGGTCTATTTTCTGTGAACCTGCGGAGATACGGCCAACATAAGAAGATCATTGCCGCCTGCTACGACCCTGATTTCTTCCTTCAGATACACACCTATAACCATCTATTTATAATCTTAAGAGATGGCTGTACAACATAACAAAGACGAAACCCCTATGGCAGACCTCACAGGGGCGATCGGCCCAGACTCTGCCAAATCCCCCAACGCTGATCATGTTGAAGACCTAGAAGTGAAAGGTGCACCGGCTCCGGAGTTCACTCCAGCTGAGCAGAGACGAATCATGTAGGCCAATCTCCGACTTTCTCTATCATGAAATCAACATGCTAATCCGGGCCACAGCCGACGCATCGATATCAACCTCCTACCAATTCTAGGGATAATGTACTCGATTTCCCTGGTCGATCGCACGAATCTAGGATTGGCGTTGGTTGCTGGTATGCAAGAAGACCTCGGACTGGCTGTTGGCGATCGATATACCATTTTAGTCATGGTATTTTTTGTTGCCTACATGTAAGTGTTCTCTGCCATCGATGTATCCTGAATGAGCCACTAACCTACTCCTACAGTCTGTTCGAAATTCCAAGCGTGAGTTTGCGACGACGCGATGCCGATCGACACTTACATCAACTAACGATCATCTCAGAACTTCATCTTGCCGAGAGTTGGACCAGCGAACTGGCTGACGTTTCTGGGTGCGTCATTCGGCGCAATTCTGATTGGGATGGGGTTTACCCACCACTGGGGTACCATGGCCTTATGCAGAGCTCTGTTGGGAATATTTGAAGCTGGATTTCTCCCTGGTTTGTTGCATTTGCCTGACAGATGGCTGCTCAATATACTGACATTCGTTAGGCTGCACATATTTGATCACTTGCTGGTACACGCGGTTTGAAGTTGGGAAACGGATGTCTGCATTCTGGGTTCTTTCAGTTCTTGCCAGCGGGTTCTCTGCCATCCTGGCTTATGCCTTGACGTTGCTGAGTGGACAGCAAGGGCTTAAAGGGTGGCGCTGTACGTTTTGCCCGACGCATCTCTGTAATTCACACGTCCACTGCCGAGACCTAACCAAAGTTGAATAGGGATCTTCATCATTGAGGGCGCCATAACAGTCGCAGTGTGCCTGCTCGGGTGGTTCATCATTGTCGACTTCCCAGAAAAGGCCCACAAACTCCTCAAACCCGCTGAGCGACAGTTCGTTATCAATCGCCTTAACGAGGACCGAGGTGACGCTGAAGAGGACGAAGTTACTGCTAGCAAGATACTGCACCATCTCAAAGACTGGAAGCTCTATTTCTGGGCTTTCAACCTCATGGCGTCGACTCTGCCTGGGTACGCGTACTCATACTTCCTCCCCGTTATCCTCCGCGACGGCATGGGCTTCAACCGGGCAATGTCTCAACTCTTGAGCGGGCCTCCGTATGTTCTGGCCGCCATCATGGCGGTTGTCTCTGGGTGGCTCGGCGATCGCTACAGAATCCGAGGTCCCATTATTGCAGTGCATCAAATCCTAACGGCAGCCGGCATGCTGATTACTGCTTATGCAAAAGGCAACGCCGCTCGCTATTTCGGCGCATTTCTAGGTATGATATTCAAGTTTATCCCGTTACAGCTATGCATGGTATGGGGCTAATGTGATTGCACTAGGGATTGGATTCCTACAATTTTGTGTCCCGGGTGTTCTTACTTTTCAAGCTAACAATATCACCACTCACTCGAAAAGAGCCGTTGGCACTGCCACCTGTCTCATTGGTGGCGGCATTGGTGGGATCATTGCAAGCTCCGTATTTATTGCGAAGGAAAGCCCCCATTACACTGTAAGTAACAGAATGATTGTTGCCTTTGTCGGGATGTAGACGCTGATGATAAGCAGACGGGTATTTGGGTAACATTTGCCATCTCCATGGTCAGTGTGAGCATGATTACAATTCTTGACATCTATTTGTGGAAGCAGAATAAGGCTGCCAGAGCTGGCAAAGTCTTGAACGCGAATGTGCCGGGATGGTTGTACACACTCTAAAATCAGGACACCATTCTCTCGAAGATCACACGCTAGATAATGATTCATCCTGATAAATATGATTAAATTAGATTCTTTGAATGACCCCAGTATATTATAGGTACTTGCAATACTTACTTAATTAATATCAGTCCACGGTTGAAACTTGAAGGGTAAATATTGCGTCAGGTTGCTCTAGATATTCTAGCTACCCTAGGCCTTGAGATCACTTGTTGTGACAAGTGCCTTCAAACCTCATCAATATCGCAACCTCAAAGTTCGATAACCGAAATAGCGGTAGCCTCCCTGTCACAGGCGCAACGATAATCCTTTATTACTTTAACTGGCATGAGCGTATCTAGGGATAGTGAAGTAAAAGGAAGGTAACTCAACGAATTGATGAGGAAGATACGCTCAGCTTTTGGCCCTTGACGAGTCAAATCGCAGATTGCTTAGACTACTATCGAGTATATAGTAGTAAACAATACAATGGAATGATAGTTCTCAACCTTCATAACTGATCAAAGTTCTAATAAATTGCGTACAAAAATTGTGTATATGGAAACACTCTTGGCCAAGTCACGTGGATCAGATATGGGCGGATCTCTACCCCGCAAAATGCCTAAATCCCGGGGTAATTTGACCAAACACCTGGAGGCTGGGACAAGACGAGATCAAATCCATCGTCCGTTCCTCTCTAAACGAATCGACCCAAAAAAGGTCGATCGCACATCTCCAGAGCCGATTTGAAGCCATGACGCCAACATCGGCCGATGAAAATAATGCAGCTAGCAGACGAGCCAAGAAGAGAGAGCTGGACCGTCGAGCTCAGCGAGCCGCTCGTGAGCGCAACCGGAACCGGATTGCTCATCTGGAAGAGACAATTGATGCCATGAAAGCGCATGACTCTACTAACAAGGCTGCTGATTTGATGGATCAACTGGCCCAAGTCAAGTTGGAACGAGATCGATTGGCTGAGACACTGCAGTCTATTAGCGATTTGGCTGGACGTCATGCGCTTCCAAAGGCAGCGGAACCTGCTCATCTCGGAGGTAGTCAGAGTGGCCAGCACGCTCTGGGAGGAGTAAGAGCCGCTTCGCCCATACCATCAACGGAATCTTTTGTGGAAGGCCTTGCGATAGAGTCAAATTTGGATCTTCAATCGATCGCCAGCCCTCTGCCGGGTGCTGGCCAGTCTGGGACTCAGCCTGTTGTCGAAGCAAACGACCAACTTGACTTGGATTCTGAGACCCTGCCCATATTCTCTGTATCGGACGGCCTCATCCTACCGGAGCCCTTGGGGGTCTGCGATTGTATTCTGCCCCCGGCACCCGTCGGCGTCACTGGTTCGTCTGCCGCAGCCGATTCGAGCATTTGGAAGAGTGCCAATCAAATTCTCGGTCTCAGCCCTTCCTTGACACAGAGCACGCTTCGGATAGAGGATAAGACATCCGAAGACTTGCCCGTCCGCGCCATCCTGCGGGGATGGAATTCGTTCGATAGCGGAGACTTACCACCCTTGTGGCAAATGCTGCGGCAAACTGATACCCTCCAATTCCGAGGATGTCGAGATGTGGAAAGACTGGCAATCATGGTTATGATGCATCGTATTCTCCGGTGTCAAGCTGATCCTTCCAACGAACGGTGGAAAAAACTTCCGCCGTGGCTGCAAGGCAGGTATGTGGATTCTTACTCAATTTCCTCGCCATTGGAACGAAGTTTGACTGTTGACGTACTCGTAGGCCATCTCAAATGCTGCCGCACTCCCCGGCCGTTGATTTCTTCGTATGGTTAGTAGCAACCTTCTTCCATTATCCGTACAGGAATTCTTATCTGACATTTGCTTTCTAGGCCCGGAGTACGAGAACGCTTTGTCTTTTTCCAGCACCGTTACTGCTCAAATACCTTCTGGAAGGTTTTTGCAGAATCCTTCCGATTATTGTGGCCCTTCGAATTCCGAGATTGCTATCAGAGAAACGTCATGACCGGAGCATATTCTTTGTCACCTGCATTCGAGAGCCGCCTGTATGATATCAACTGCTGGGCGATGACGACTGATTTCTTTTACCACTTTCCAGACTTCCGCTCCGATATACCATGCTCGCAGCATATCACGAGCCTTCAGTTCCGACACCAGTCTGAAAGCGAAGACGTGGGACAGCAGAGTAACAACTCTCTGTCATACCACCTCGACACCATGTTTTAGTTAATAATTCTGTGAAATTTGAAATTGGATGTATTATTTATCAAGAGCTACATAGAAATGCTACTTGTTACGAGATTTATTTAGTTGATAGCTCATAGCCTCCAAAAGATGCTACGCTTTGTCCATGGAACGCTGAATTTTCTCATCTCCTGTTTTAACCAATCGTGCATTTTGAACTAGGTATGCAAAATCCTGCTGGAAATCGAATGCTTGCGCCTGGAGTTGCATTAATAGCGATCCATCCACCCCAGTCTCTTGCAAACGACAGTAGCACCGCCCAAGACTGCCGTCACTCCTGTGAAAACAATGAGAGGCCCGTAGCCACTTCCCCATGCCGAAGCTGCCTCGTCCTTCCATGATAAATTCTTTATGAGCGCCTCACTGAGTGGCCCCGACACGACATTACTCAGCCCACGCCCTGCAGTCATAACACCCAAGATCATGATGGGGTCGTACGAGGCAGCCCTGTTTTCCCCAGCAGCTGATTCGTCCACCGATAGAGCACTGGATATAATGTCTCGTGTCATGGCCGGCCATATTGACACATATGAACTCGCGAAAAGTCCATAGAGAATGCAAAATGCGTAAAGTGTGGCCAGGTTGCTAGCCAGGCCCCAGAGGAGAAAGGTGGCCAGCGTGGCGCCGAACGTTGAGATCATCAGACAGGTCGAAATCCTAAATTTATCGGTGAGCGACCCCATAACAATCATGCCGATGACAGCCGAGACGTTTATGAGCATGACTGTCAAGGCAGCTAGAAAGTGTCCCGCGCCTAGAAAGGAGCGAGCATATGTAGGTAGATAGACAGCAGGCAGAAAGAACCCGATGGATTCAGCCATGCTGGCGAACTGGTAGAAAAGGAAGGTCTTGTCCAAGAGGAACGTGAGTTTGTAAGGTTTGGCGTGTGTGGATGAGCTTATTGGGAGGCGAGGCCTGACAAAGTAAATGAGCGGCATTGTGACGATCAATAGAGTGACCGCCCATATGCGTAGAGCGGTTCTGAAGCCATATTTCCCGAGCAGAAACTCGAGCAATAAAGGGATGAGGAAACCCCCGGTACCTGTCCCGGACCACACTATTCCAAAGGCCAGGCCTCTACGAGACACGAACCACTCATCCAGGTATAACATGCATGGGCAGTAGCATGTGCAGGCCGCGATGGCGTAAAATATTCCTTGGGTTACGATGAGTTGCGGCACGGTCGTGGCAAAAGAAGATGCCACCAGGGACAGAGACATGACCAAAAGACCAGCTATAGGGCCATATCGGGTTGCGCGGGGATAGAGCCGCTGCAAGAGTACGACTATGGGGAAGCCCATGTAACTAACACCCTACGATTGAAATGTAGGTAAGTAGTGGTCAAGCATGTGAGGGGGTTTCCAACGTACGATAGCACAAGTTCCAATCGTTGCGATACCAGATGACCCAGCAAAAGGCTCATGAGTCTGATAGTAGTCTTGAAAGAGGCCAAAAGAAAAGGGAAATCCTATAGTCGCCGAGACAAGCACGCGTCAGCACAGCGTACGAACTGAAGCACCGAAAGATTGACTCGTTACCCCAAACAACCGCTTCGATCAGGAAGCTCGCAACAAGGAACATCCAAGCACTCTTTCCTCTATCTGTAGGTGGCAAGGAGAATTCGGGCTGTCCAGTCAGTACGATGGTTGCTGCTTCAATTTGCGGAGGAGGTGTTGCATATCCGGAGCCTATGGGTGAAGTGTTGTATCCAGCGTGCGAGGTTTTGCTGGTGGTGCGAACAGGCGCATTGTATCGCTCTGAGAGCTCGGAAAGCTCAAGAACGGTCGTTGTAGCCATGAGGAACTCACTCTTGTTTCTCTTTGCCTCATGGAATGCTTATTCTTTTGAGTCTTGGGGGCATAAAGGCCAATAAATAGATAACCATCGGTACCCGAAACCGAATATCGGGATGTGAAGGTTTTGCTTTATAAGCCGACGGGGGTTAATTCTCCTAGCATATCCTAGATCTCTTCCAAATACGGAAAGTAGCATACAAAACTTGCATTATCTACACTCAACACTAGAGGAGGGGCAACTCACTAAGAGCTTTCCACTATTTTCAAGGTGGGGACATCTTCGGTTCCAATATCGGTGACGGGTAGAGCCTGAGCTCGTGTTCGGTTATAAGCGCAAGAAGGAAGGACACAAGGATTCAACATACCAATCTGATGTTACCCAGGCTCAACACGCCAAGGGCTAGAGAGTACCGAACCGGAACCGGGCCGGGGCACATCTGGCAGCCACAACCAGAAGCAAGGCAACAAGCGCAAGTCCGTGATTCTAGCTACGAGCTGGATGAGCAGGGAGCTAAAAAGGTACCAGAATATGACAGACGATGAAGTTGAGAAACTGAAGGCTACCACGAACTAAAAATGTGCCGACCGCGAGGATCACAAGGAAACCACCAAGCGCCGCTTCTTTTGCTTCGAAAGCCAAATAACTTCGAAAGCCGGACTAAAATGATGGACAGATCTGTTAACCAACAAATGAAAACCATATCAATCGTTTCCTTCTTTCCTACTTTACACAGCACTCTCCAAGACCTCCACATTATAAAAGGGGTGGTATTCGAGTGAAGGGAGGCCCTCGCCTTCAATACATATTGTGTCTGCGGGCGACCACGAACTCCATAACTCTCACCATCCGACTCTTGGTAGAGTGATGCCTTTCTTCTTGCGCTTCATGGACATCGATTTGAGAGTATCGCATCATTAAGGTGGTGCAACCCACGAACCAAGTCGAATGCCCATATCCATACCCCTTGACTTTCTGTTGCGGGCATCATCCAAGCCTTATACTGTATAGGTACTGATAAACTGAAAATACATATTAGCCAAAGAAAGAATTTAACACATTGAATAATGTACGAAAATTTCCGGACTGAGAGAGGTTGAAAAATCTATTGAAGGGCAAAATTGTCACAGACTAACCAAATCGAATTAACCATGATACAGACCAAAGCCAATATACTTTGGTAGATCTCCAAAGCGCCCGCTTGCGTGCGATATGAAGTTTGCTCTCACTCTCTTTATATTCGAATCGCGTGCTAGCCCACTGCCAGTGGCACCTCTTGTATCACTTTCAAGGCGGAGAGTGATAAATTCGTCGTCTTTTGGCTCAGATTCCCATCATAAATTCATGAGCGAATCCCCGGTGCGTTTAGCCTGTTTAAAGCACTCCTTGCTTTGTAGTGGGTAATTTTTGAGAGAACCCCCATCAGAGTGCGTCACGAGGTCAGACAGCTCTGGGTGGGTATTGGATATGCTTATTATGCCGCATATTGTCTTCGGGAGTTCGGGGGTCAATGTACGGGTTCAAATCGTGGAAATTCATTCCAGGCTCTTATTTACAATGTAAGTAATAATTTCTCTGGCATATCACACGTATATGCCAAATATAAAATCTCCTCACTCTGGGCATTGATGATAGAAAGGTGTTAGACGAGAAACACGACCGTCCGCATGAATGAAGAACAATGGCTTAGATACATCGTGTTGCCATATCTTGTAGCCCAGTTTCCGCGATTGGGAAAGTCGTTAATGCACTGCACAAAGGTCACCACCACATCTGTCAAACACCGGGCCAATTCCCCCAAAGCATGCTACCGTCGAATCGGGGATGAAGATGTCGAAATCCTGGAGAACACTAAGTTCAAAGTCATCAACTATCACCATTCTGGTAGAAAGTACTCTACAGCTGACGTAATGGTGCATACATTGAGTCTCGATTTTTCCTGGTGGCTACATGTACTAATGAAGGCTGTGTGGCGGTAAATGGCCAGATTGATCGGTCCCGGATTTGCACTCGTAATGGTAGGAATTACGCTACCCATTTAGAGGCCCTGTGGCCCTGAAGCTGCAGGTCCGCACAACCAGTGATACGAAATATTCATCTCCAGAAGAAAGGGGCAGTCAAGGGTCAAGTGGTACGTCAGATCGCCAAGACGGGTGAGGACATAATTATGGGTCTGCCGTGATGAGCTAAAACACGTGGAAAATTCTGCCAAGAACATGGAAAGGCTTGGTCAGACCTCATCGTGTACGCATCCATTGGACATCCAATTATCTTAACCAGACATATCACTGATTCCTAAGAGCTGCTTGAAGGAAGCTCCTATTTTATATTTAGAATCCACGGAAAGAGCATCATAATACGGGTCTAAGATAAACACTTGGGTCTTCGTCATCATCAGCAGAGCGACCCATTTGGGCACACTTGCCTTCACGGGATACGAGGGTCTTCGACTAGGGCCAAGGATATACGGATTACGATATGAGAACACTTACATCATGTCCGGGTCCAGGGCACAGCGCTTGAAGACTATCATGGGGAGCTAATTCTTTGTCCTCATTGAGCTCCCCAAGACATCTCGCCATGGAACCCGCGGGAGTGGAATCTCTATGATACCAGTACGTGGCAGTGGGAATAGTGGCTTAGCGAGTTGTAAGTTTTTTCCGACGCAAGAGGCCGGGACGAGTCAAGGCACTGGGTCTGTACGCTCCACTTGGTCTGGGAAGCATGATCTGGTCGTCATGGGCGAGAGAAAACCGGCCCGTCGTGTATCAGACCAATGATAGGAATTGCAACCAATCAACATATGCTGTATAACTGACAAGCTTTTGTGGATCCATCCGGGACGCATTACTGCAGGAACCAGACCAGGGCTTCCGTAGAGGCGCAGGTCGGACGCGCGGACGATGACGCGAGCTTCCCCCTGAAAGTGCTGTCCCTCTCTTTCGAACCACCAGCGCTGGAATGCAATTGGTTTTCCAGCCAATAGCGCCATCTACATCTTCGTTGTCTATCGATAATGAACAAACCTTGAGTGTCTAGTGATTTCATCATCCCCCAAGACGCACCGTTCTCCAAAATAGATATGGGCTCACAAGTGACGAACGCTCTCCACTTTTGCTACCCTCCACTTTGATATTAGTTTACCCATATATAATCACAGTGGCGATTCCATTTAAGACGTTTTATTTTTGAATCTCTTCTCAAGCTTGGCTAGCTATATCTTTGTACAGAATTAGCGTTTCCTTGCTTCCTGTCTCTCGCTTCTTAACGTTTCTTAATCACTCGTTCAACAACTATATCTTTCAACTTTATCTGACAACACACGGACTGCAAGAATGTTTGTCAAGTCTTTTGGTGCGGTGGTTTGCATTTTTGCTACCTCGGTCGTGTCCCAGACATATACCGACTGCAATCCTACCGAGAAGAGTAAGTTGGACCAAGCTCCTTAAAAGCAGAAATAAAACTCACAACTCCACGTCCAGCCTGTGATCCCGCTCCAGCCCTCGGCAACTTGACTATCGACTGTGATTTCACTCAGGGAGCTTGCAGCGACTTCACCGCCGCCACCGGAACCACCATCACATACGATGACAATGGCGCTCTCTTTTCCATCGAGAATGATACCCAGGCTCCCACCCTTTCGACATCGCGATACATCTTCTTTGGCCGCGTGGAAGTTCAGCTGAAGGCGGCTGTCGGGCAAGGGATCATCACATCCGTCGTACTGCAGTCCGCAGATCTTGATGAGATTGACTGGGAGTGGTTCGGCGGGAAGGACACCGAGGTCGAGAGTAACTATTTTGGCAAGGGGGATACCACTACCTATGATCGTGAAGAATACCACGATGTTACCACGCCGCTTTCGACCTATCACACATACACAATCGAATGGACATCCTCCAAGGTTGAGTGGCTTATTGATAATGTGGTGGTCCGAACGCTGAACTATGCGGATGCTGAATCAGGTACTCGTTTCCCTCAGACCCCCATGCAGCTCAAGATCGGTACCTGGGCTGGCGGCCTCTCAACCAACTCCGAGGGCACCATCGAATGGGCTGGCGGGGTCACTGATTTCAGCGAGGCTCCTTTCCAGGCCTGGTACAAGTCCGTGTCCGTTGTTGACTACGCCGGCGGCAACTCCTCTGCCACGGAGAGCATCACCGAGTACGTCTACAGCGATACCTCTGGCTCGTATGAGAGCATCACCGTGGTCAAGGGCGAGAGTGTCTCGGAGGAAGATCTCACCGTCAACAATTCAACCTCGCTCGTCACTACGGCGGGAGGATCAAGCGCCTCAAACGGAACGATCGTTTCAAACAGCACCTCTAGCAGCAGCACCAGCACTACCACGGCCCAGGCTACCAGCGGCACGTCTACGGTCCCTACCACTACCAGCAATGACGCGGCTTCCAGTTCTGTCTCCACCCTTTTCGCCATCTGCGCTGCCGCTATCATGATTTCCGCTCTTTAACTCTGCAATTATGGACATTCTCTATAGAAGCTTCGTATTCACCATAGGGTCAGTTAGGATGGAATATTCAGACGGACGGACATCAAGTATTGCTTGCACGCGCTTGGGCGGCTTTCTGATTCCTGACTGAAATAAGGGTTCATCAATTCAACACCGAATTGGAACTTTGCCTCACTTAAATTTAGACTTTTCATAATATTTGAAGCCATTGATATATGTGCATTATCACCTACATAATTTCTGCGGAAAATCCATTGGGCTAGCTAAATAGGCGCCACAGTCGAAACCTCACGCTACAAATCGTCGGATTCTTTCTCCCCTGTGATAATTTGTAGCCTTGTGCTTATAAAACAAGCCCCTAATGTCTCCTCTTGATGCAGCTACCCGGGAGCTACGTACAATTTGTTGAACGTCCATTCAATCAACACATGAACCAAGTTAAAATGAAATTTGGTTGAATACTACACATATTCAAAATTGAAAAATTGACTGTTAATTTATCGTCGGCATGAAATGCTGTCAAGAAGGTCTTTACCTGAACACTTGTGCCACCTGCAGCAAGATTGAGTGCATGGGCTTGCGAAACGGGCTTATTAATTGATTGTTTAGTCAAATTAAGGAAACCAATATCTATAAGAGAGCTCTATAAGACCGATTTTACTCCTAAACAAGCGCCATCTACAACTGCGCATTGAAAATTGTCACAAAAGTCTAGTTTCCTGGCCAAGTGACATTGCCAACCCACTCACGGAAGATGGCATCAAACTCGGCGGGCTTCTCCTCGTGAACCCAGTGGGCGGTTTCAAGGGTCTAGCATCACCAAGAAATCAGTAAACGACGCGTCATGGGTCATGTAGCTTTCACTTACGGCGGTGTAGTGGTTGGTCAGGTAGTGGGCAGATCCAAGCTGCTCAGCGACGGCCGCCCAATCGGCAACGGGGTCCTTGGTGGGATACAGAGCGAATGTGGGCTGAGGGATGGTGAAGTTGCCTTGGTTGTGCTCGAACTCCCAAGTCAACTTGCGGTTGGGTTCCTGGTATCCGTTGAAGGCTACGGCGAAGACGGGAGTTAGTAAACTAAGTAACGCGCAAGCCGGAATAATGAGCATGACGTACTGTTGTAGAAGCCCTGCTTCTGGTAAGAGGCGACCATGTAATCCTCAACCTCCTTAGTCATGATTCCAGAGAAGGGAATCTCGTCACGGCCAGCCGCCTCGTTGGCCTTGTACCATGCATTGAGGAAGGATTCGCGGTCAACTAGGAAGTCAGAGGGAACGGTGCTGTTGGCGACCTGAGCGCACGATCGGATAGCACTGCGAGGGTCACTGTCGAGCTCTGCAGCAGCAACCTTGGGGTCCTTTGAGAGGAAGATCTGGTATCCAAAACCAGGAGCCAAAGAGGCCAGAGCTTCGTTACTGATGAATTCCGTGCTGCTAGGAACGTACTTTGCGCGTTCATACGTCAGAATGGGCTGTATACACTAGAAGAAGATACTCACGGGAACAACTTCGTTGAAGAGACCAATGAATCGGTCGGGGCGGGCACGGCCAGCGCTCCAGCAGACCTGTGCACCAAAATCATTGCCCATGCAGATGCCTGCCTGAACATTGGCATGGTCCATGATACACGTGATGTCACCGACAACCTGGATTCATGCATCAGTATAAGTTGACATCCGTTTGGTCGGCCTCGAGCGATTAAATTTCTACATACATCAAGCATGGAGTTAGAAGAGATCAAGTCGTCAGGGTGCTCCGAATCACCAAATCCTCGTAACTCAACAATGATCAGACGGTAGTCCTTGCCAAGAGTGTCGATCTGATGTCGGTAGGTAGTCCAGAGAGACGGCCAACCGTGGACCATGACAATCGTCTTCCCTGCCGTGGGGTTGATGTCGACATAGGCAAGCTTCAAGCTCACATCAACAGGCTCATTGCCGCTTCTGTCCACAGCCTTGCAAGTAGCAAAGGATTTCTTGTACTGGCTCGGGTGGAAGGCCCTGGGAGCAGGGGTCGCCGAGGCGACACTGGCAAGAAGAGCAAGGGCGGCAGGGAGGAACTTCATTTTGTTAGAGAATGGTTATGGAAGATGCAGCGACGGTGTATTCAAAGAACACGACGATCCAATGGAAGCTTTAAATATTTACAATTGCTCAACGCCAAGGAGTTCTGGTCGGCCACTCCGGCCAAGCACCACGGGCATGCTCCCATTGGTGGCGAATGGCTGGTTGAATAACCCTTCCCTAGTGGAACAAGCCAATGACCTTCATCGGCTCTATCAGCCAATGAAAGGTTGTTGGGAATCAGACCGTACCGAGCGGATGTCCCAGTGTGCCGAGGCAGCTAGGCAGACACCTCGCAAGTCCAAAGAGGAAAGAAATTAACGCCGATGACTGATTCCTAGATAATGCTGGGCACCGGGTCCCCCGTGCAATACGAAACTGGCCAACGCAAGGTTTGCATCCTTTGGCACTTAGATCCGCATTATGAATCAAGCAGGGATACGACACGAGATAAATGCGATATGATTTGTGGGCATTGGAACGCTACCCTCATTATTTGATAAAGTAAGAACTAATTAAAAGACTCTTCTGACCGGCGTAGAGACTATGTAGAATGAACTAGGGCTGGGATCTTTTTTCGCTGATTTCCCAAAGTGGTGCTCTAATTATAGCTCTTCTCAACTCCCTGTCAACCACATCTGGATGGTGATGAAGCAATCCATGACAACGAGGGATCAAATTTCCACTTGATCCACAACTCCCCGCGCGCTAAACTATTTGCCGGGGAGTTCCAGTACCGAAACAAGCCGCCAAAGGGAACGAAAAACGACGATCCTGGTGATAATGTCTGGGACACGGTCCTTAATTCGAGTTATAAGCGCCAGCCATTTTTTCTATCCTCGATTCCCTTCTCTTCAAGATTTAAGTTCCCATTTTCCATCTTATTGATGTGTGAAGCTCCCTGTTGGGATGGCGAGGCTTCGAACTTTATGTGGCGACTTCAATATTGTCTGGTTACTTATGGGAGGTCCCAAAGATTTGTCAAGGATGTTCTTTTCCCGAAGGTACTAATAGAGAAGAGCCATGGATAAGAACATATCCTCTTTCCTGGTATCTACGGGTTATATATCATCTTGATCGACTTCCGCGCTTATTACTTTGGCTTCATCTCGTCTGCTTGTCGTGTTGACCTTCCAGCTTAGCCTTGTCCTCTGATTGTTATCTATCTCTACTCCACCTTAGCGACCCAATCACCTTTAGACTGTCTTTTCCGCCTTCGAGAACGTCGACCTTTGGTTGTCGCTGGCGGAATTAGAGGTTTCCAGATAACACGGCCAACCACCTATTCGTACAGTTCTGCATACGCGCCCCGGAATGGTGATGCTTCAACATTTCCTAGTACATGTCCCTGAAACTTGACCCCGTTAGCCTCATAAACACACTCTATGTCTTTCTGGTCCGGCATGATGCCTTCCATGGGCACCGGGTCCTTAAACAATGACGGTCTAGGCTCGAGCTTGAAAGCGAATACCCTGAGAGACCGCAGGCTCGGGTGTGACACTTTGCAAGCCAAGCTAAATGTGTGTAGAACATCCGCCAACGCTCTTGTATACAGGCGCAAAATTTCTTCGGAAGATATATAGCTTTCAAGCTCACGAGCAGTAAACACATCCAATTTGCCAAGCTGTTCGACCATGTCGTTGGTCGGGTGCCAGGTCCAGTCATATAAGTGCAGCGATTTAAGTGAGGAGGGCAGAACGGCATGGAGCGGACGCGATTGGAATTTCTCGACGGGGTTGACGAGTGGGAGGCAGATGGACAGATGCTGCAGCTGTGACATGGACTTGAGGCAGGTCAGATGGAAATGCTCCATGTTTCGGGAGGTGCAGAAGCTGTGCAGGTCAAGAGCAACGAGATTATCCGCCAGCTTGGTCAACGCTGAGTCCCAGAGGGGTGGGCCAGTGTAGCCGCCCGAGCGTCCTGCAACTGCTCTCTTATCTCGGTCCTTGGTGCTCGGTGCATGGTCTGGGCAGTGTACAGTGAGCTTAGATAGGCGCAGCATGCTGCTGATCTTGTCAAGTGCGAGCTCAGTGCTCGACGAGGTGATGAGGTGAAGCCTTTGGAAGTTGTAGCCCGGTGCAGAGGCGAGAGGTGGAAGAATTCCATGGAAGTCTTTCAGCGTCCCAAGAGAGTCTATGACGACCTCCATCAGGTTCGGGCATCGAAGGAGATTAAGGCATGCAGAGATCCGGAATGTGTATCGAGGCCATTCGACTGCTGATGGTAGGAGCCCTTGTCTCATATTGGAGAAGTTGTCGGGTATATAGTTAGGGCAATACGTGAATCGCAGATGCGTCAACCCGTGCAATACTTTGTGCGAAGCACTGTCATATTCGCGGAGTAGTCCAAGCAAAGCATTGAGTGTTTGGTACTCGCCATTTATTACATCTTCATCACCCCAGTCAGAAGCATCGTCCTTCACCTCGACAGCGGCATCGTCAGCCCAGCCCGAGACACACCACTCAGGGCGAGGAAGAGGGGGGAGGGCTAGAGACTGGATATTGGGCACAAGGCAAAGGATGGCAGCAAGACACCGTTCGCCAAGGTCACTCGGTGCTTCGTCGCCAGAGTAGGCCACAAAGTCCAGGACAGCTGCGTTCAAGTCTGATAGCGATCTTGCCCCCCGGATCGCTTGTTCATAGATATTGAGGGATTTCTCACGCAATGTTTGCAAGAGATCCGGGGGTGTCTCGGGTGAAAGAGCGCCTTGTAGCCTTAGGAAAAACTGGCACTCGATATGCAGCACATGAGACCTGAGATCTGGGCGTTCTAACAGGGTCCGTAAGAAGAGCGACATGGTTATGATGCTTGTATCGACGGTGGGAGTTTTCTTCGCGCTTCCTAATGGAATTGCCCGTAGGACAATAGTGCGGTACAAGAATAAATCTGCTGCTTCCCTTAACCTGCGGCAGGTCAAAGATAGCGCAAGTAGGGTTTGAGTAGCTGATGCCTGCGCTCGGTCTCTGCCCTTGGTGTAGTAGAGAGGAGATTCGCCTGTCGATTTATCGGTTGATATATCCACTAGCAGGAGTCGTATAATGTCACTCAGCAGCTCTGTGGGCAGCTCTAGGATTAATCCCTCGTTGGTGGGCGAATGGGATGGCATGGTGACGGCATTGGATGAAGTGCTCATCGTGAACGGCTTCTACTCCTCAGAGAGAAGGGTGGTTTGATGGAAATGGACAGACGCGTCGCCAGTAATCACGCAGCATGTATCATTACCCAACCAACGCAACCAACGGGCTGAGGTGGCTGAGCTCTGGATTGAGCCCCAACTGAGAGTAACCCCAGACCTCACCGCCACTCTGAGTGAGTCAGCAGAGAAAGTCACGATTTCATGCGTCAAGGGCTGCTTCGTTTTGTTTGCCCAAGAGCGGGAGTGTCACATGCCACCGCATTGAGCATTCCGTTTCCGGAATTGACGCAACCCAAGCCCAGATTGATATCAGCGTGAACTTAGTATTGGTTCGCTTTACACAAGATAGCACATAATTTTTCAATGATGTATCGTTGTAGATGGTAATACAATACATGATTTAATAACCAAGGAGTTCCATTTTGCCATCGCAACCATGATGTAACTACACATTCTAGGAACAAACACTGGCCTGTGGCCCCGCATTGGCAAGAACCTTGCTAGGGACGGCACTCGCACTATCCAGAGTATACTGATAGAAGCTGCTTGGGTCGAACGAAGTTCCCTGGTCACCGCTCTGAGTACCCGTGCAGCTCTTGAACACATTCCCCTTGCCTGTCAGAGTCGCTGTGCTGTCAGCTTGCAGCGGGTTCTTGGAGCTCTCAAAGTAGCAGTTCTCAACACGTGCGTTGGTCTTCCCGCGAGCGTAGTGGCCGTAGGATGTGATTCCACGCAGGTAGTTGTTGTAAAGATGGGCATATTTCAGGTTGTCTGCCGAAGGGTTGCGTTGGTTGGTCCCGTCGAAGAGATTATGGTGGATGGTTCCCTGCGCGACTAAATTGTCCGTCCAACCTGTTGTTTGGGCGAGTTAGCAACTGAGTTATTCATAAACCATGGAGAGATATCGCTTGGTTGAATATCACATACCGATACCGAATGTCTTGTCATGGTTACGGAAGATGTTGTTCGATACTGTGTAGTAAGTGGAGTCCTTGCGTAGGTCAACTAGACCATCTCCGCCCTTCTCAAACGTGCCTGCAGGCGTTAGTGACAAAATGAGAGACTTTCCCATATTCAGAGACGTACAGTGATCAATCCAGATGTTAGAAGACGTGTCCACCTGAATACCATCACGGTCGTTTTCATCCTCAGTCCCGTCGTCAGTGTTGCCTATGAACATAGTCAGTAGTCGGCCAGACATGTAATTCAGTCCACATCAATCCTACCAATCTTCAGATTACGGATGATGACATTGTTCGCAGGCTTCAGGCCAAATCCGCCTTGATAAATCTCACCCGTAGATCCGATACCGATAATGGTCTTGTCGTTGGCGACGGGGATCTCGTAGCCGAAGGGAGAGGCTGTGATTCTGCCGCTCACTTTGATGACATACTTCCCAGATGCACTGGCATACTTCTTCAAGTCATCAAAAGTCGAAACCGTCACGACTGTGCCTCCGTTGCCGCCCGTGGTCCCGCCATTGAGCGAAGCAAAGCCGTCCGCATTATCCTGGCATCCAGCCAGAACTGTGACCGCCTGCAGTCCGATGCTGAAGATTGTGGCTGCCTTCATGTTGGAATAGATTTCAGTCCACGTGTTGAATTGGTTTAGTTGGAAAAGGGGACAGAAATAAGATGTCATGGCCGCGAGATTAAATACAAGCGACGTCCGCCCACTTCGGGAGTTTGGCATTCCCTCACCCGAGCCAAATACCCCGTGAAACTGTTTTGAGTGTAAGTGATCGACCTCCGAAGCGTCTAAAACAGAATTCGCTTCGTATTTCCCCATGAACGTACAGAATGGGGGTCAGGTTGTCTCCATAATTGGTGGGCTTTTTTGCTTCAGGTGTTGTTTCGGCCGGTTACATTCCGAAGTTGGCACGGAGCTGAGGCTCCAGATCTTCATTGTCCCGCAATAGTCAAGCAGTATTGCAATTAGAATGCCGAAGGGAAAATTAGGCTTAATTTTTAAATTGCGACGGGTGGTATCAATGGCTAATTCCGCGGCCTTTTTATCCAGGTACTTCGTGACAGTCTTCCATGGAAAGTTCCTCTATAATATAATCTGAATTAAATTTGACTGTCCGCGCTTGAAGGACCCAGCCCATCGAAGAGATCATTTTACCTCGTGTGACTTCCTTTGAGTCACTTGGCCTCCATTGACGGAGAGCCGGCTAAGGTAAGTTAGTTTCAGATCATAGGACAAGTCTGGAGTGATGCGTCATAAATTTATATATTGTGACATCAAGTGCTATGCTTGATGTAAACCGGTAGCGACTGAAAATATAGCAATATATAATATATGCTATGTATAGTATATGTGCAGGTCTATAGTAAAAACACTTTCTATATCCCATTCCGAGGCCCATATGTACAGGGTATGGTAGGATCTTTGTACTCGTAGAGAGTGTATATACTCTGGCATGCGGGCCAGTCCAGGATGAGGGCACTAATAGATCCTCGTTGAAGAACAGCAAACAAACGAGCGTGATATTGAAAAGGTTGCAGTGATAAAAGGACTGTATCGAACGGAAGTTGATGAAAGAAAGAAAGCTCGAGAGCTTTCTTAGTTGGAGACGTAGTGAGCGACGTATGCAATCTCCTGCATGGAGAGGTAACCATCGACGGTGCTGCCGTCAGGGTATCCGGGCTGCAAGAGGCAGGCTAGTTAGTAATTTAATCGTCATCTTAGAAGCAAAGAAAGCGTCACTTACCCAGTTTCCTCCGACAGCTACGTTGACAATAAAGTACAGAGGAGATTGGGCGATCGCAGCCCAGACACCTGCATTGCCGATGCGGGATCCAGTGACCTGGTGGAACTGGTTGCCGTCAAGGTACCAGGTGACCTTCTGGTTAGCCCAGTTGCCGTTGGTGCGGTCAATGTCCACACGCCATGTGTGCCACCCCTGATCGGGAATACCAGTACTGGCACCAATACCAGATCCCTCGTTGCAGATGCCGCCAGGATAGACGTCACAGTGAATGGTTCCGTAACCAGTCAGCTGCCCATTGATAGTCTCCATGATATCGATCTCGCCACACGAGGGCCAGCTTCCACCAGTGCGGAGAGCATTTCCGAGCATCCAGAAGGCTGGCCAGATGCCCTTCTTGGCACTGGTGGCGCCGTCGCCAAATCGAAGCTGGCCTTCGAGACGGGTGATCCTGCCGTCCTGGGGAGTGAAGGTGTACTTGCTCTCCATACGGCCGGAGGTCCACCCCTTGGCTTGGGACGAGTCCCTCCACGGGACCAGCTGGAGTGTGTTGCCTCCGCTGATCTGGACGTTCCTGTTGGAGCGGGTATAGACCTGCAGCTCGTTGTTAACGCCCAAGTCGCCGGTGATGATGTTCCAGTTGCCCTCGTTGGGGGTGGCGCCAGAAGCGCCAGGGAAGGTGTCCTGCCAGATGCGGGTGAAGCCCGAGTAGGTTGGCGAGTCCCAGGCGGTAGCCACGCTGGCAAGGGAAAGGACGAATGCGAGATCAAGGCGAACCATGTTGATTAGTCTTGAATGAAGGAGTGTGAGTTATAAAAGCCGGTTAGGCAAGCTGTATTGTGATAAGGATCGTGGGTAAACTGTTTGTATATGCAGATAAGGATGAGATTTAGCTCTTAAGGATGGAATCATGATGATCTTAAATAGCTGTATTTTTACAGCCAGACTCTGACAATGAGACATGCTGCAAAGACTCAGGCTTCTTGGGCGCCTGCAAATGCAAGACAAGCAGACTCATCATGTTCATTTCTCCATTCTCAGCGTGACGAAGGACCTTGTGCAACAGAGGAATGAGCAGGAATTGTATTCACTAGCCTTCCCGGAGACAAGCAAGCCATCATCCATCGGTGGCAGCTGCCCTTGGATTTCTAAGGGGAAGGTGTTCGATAGAGAGGAGCATATCATGAGAGAATCTGAGCAAGAGGTATGTGACGCGGCAAACCGAGGAGCGAAAGACATATCAGGCTTCCAGACATGGGGTAGCGCACATGAGCGTGCAAGAGATGACTGGAGATATAGCAGCATGATCGGCTGCGGCCGACCTGGAAAGCCAGGGAACTAAACCAGCGTCTGTCTTGGACAAAGAAAGTCCGGGGGGAGTACGTCCAGCCGACCAGGTCAAGCTTAGACAGGATAGATAATGATACAACCTGGGCTAGGTTCGGAAGGTGGGCAGAAGATGCGTCGACTGCTTCCTTATTCCCTCCTGCAGACGTTATCTGAAAACACGTCTTTTCCATCCTATAGCTTAGACATAAACTCGGTCGAGTGTAATGATACTCTTGAGAGATATGGAGGGTATAAGCTTTTTTAAGGTAGGAGAAAATACGAGCAAGATCTGTGGCTTGCATTTGCCGACACAGCCTAGCATGGTCCCTGCATATGTCCTAGATTATCGAGGCAACTGAGGGATGAATCGTCCCAAGGAGGGTGCGACATCCCAAAGTTCTGGTAATTACATGTGATATCGAAATGCTACTCCAAGGCACCTGCAGCTTCAGTTGATGAAACGTTGCTAGGACGAAGGCATATCATGTGCCGGCTGCGGTACGTCATTAATAGTTATGTCAGCAGGCGTTGATGCTACTCGGGGTCATCCTGGTGCAGGAGATCCTTGCAAGAGCAATGTCACCAGCTATCTGGTGCGTGAAGCCGGCAATTTGGAAAAGGG